ATCAAATGTAATTATGGCAACGTGGCCAGTCAAAGAGAAAGTATATACATGTGTACAGTACAGCAGCACATTCAGCAATATCACCTTACATCTGTACATTTCTATACGTCTCTGTGTAACACTCACACTTGACAGTTAAAGGGATGTGGGGGAGTGTCTGTTCCTGGGGGCATGTGAGATGACATTTGAGGCAACATTCCTGTGGCTGAAAATGGGTTTAATTTCTCTTGTCCAAAGTATCAATAAACCCAATATATAACATTGTTCTGAGTTTCGTTATCACTGTCAGTATTAGCAGAGCTAACTCGCCACATGGTAAGAAACACTACAGGCACTGCTATTGAACGCAGGCATGCATGGAGCAATCTTATCCTCGGTTTCATTACATTTTTTCATTGGGTATTTGTTTAGAATACCTTATCTGTAACATACACATATGTTACATACATGTTCAGTGAAGTAACTGAGACTCGATAGTAAAAAGAAGAGCTACTTCTACGTGTCGTAATGGTGACAATGGAAGAACCTTCAACTTTCAGGCCCTTCTCCCAGAACCAGCTCCCAGTATGGATTTGGGGATGAGACATCCTCTCTACTTTTTAAAACCTTCATTTTTGGTAAAGCTTATAGTTGGGACTGGATCAGGCGACCCTGTATTCACTCTTAGTTGCTGCAGTAGGCCTAGATGGCTTGAGCCCTCCCATGATGCCCTGACTGTTTCTTTTTCACTCACCTCTTTCACCATGTGTTCATACACCACTCTGCATTTAATCACTAGTTATTTTTAATCTCTGGCTAGCTACCACATTATGTTTTTTTATCCTCTACCCCTCTCCTCACCCCCAACCGGTCATGGCAGATGGCTACCCCTTCCTGAGCCTGGTGCTGCCCTAGGTTTCTTCCTGTTAAAAGAGAAGTTTTCCTTCCCACTGTTGCCAAGTGCTTGTTCAAAGGAAGTTGTTTGATCGTCAGGGGTTTTTTCTGTGTTATTGTAAGGTCTTTACTTTACAATATAAAGCCCGCTGAGGCAACTGCTGTTGTGATTTGGCGCTGTATTAATAAAACTGAATAGAATTCAAAAGGAAATAATGTAACCTTTTAAAATACTGACATGTTGCAGGTTATTATTTTTGATCATTGTTTCGATACAAAGAAATAAAACTCACATCTTTGCCTCTCCTTTGTTTGTCTCTCAGTTCCTCAGGGTGTATCTTTTCTTTTCCCATAAGTGTGAAAAGTATATTTCTGTACATTCTTTTTTATATCCTTTTTGGATCAGGTATACCCGTACCTGGCATACCTGTTAAGCAAGAGCTGGAAGTCGTTTGTCCTCCTGGATCCATATTTTCCATCGTTTCACAATTCATCAATAATATTGTCATCTTGTATTCCGTGTATACTATCAATAAATTCTGTTCGTGTGACCTCTGCTGCATGTCTGAAGGATCCATCCTCTTTCCCCATTTTCTTCCTAAGATTCCTTCCGATTCTTTCCTACTGGAACTCTCCTGGGAATCCTTTGGGTTTCCATGCTTTTTTCCTCAACCGAATTGGGGGTCAGATTATAGACCGTGTCATTTGCTGTACAGATTGTCGAGCTCTAGGGGGTAACAGTAGGAGGTGTGATTCCTGATGTCGGTGTACTGACTAACAAGCTGCTTGTGCTGCATTTTTTTAATGTCTTTGATAGTGCAAACCCAAACACACTTAAGTTTTTAGATTGCTAGACTCTTGATTTATATAGTTCAACCCTATAGATATCAGATAAAAACACAATTTTCATAAAAATGACAAAATAATGACATGTCTGTACGTGTCATGGAGGGGGGGGGGTTGGAGTGCATGATCCTGTTCAGTATATCTGAGTTTACTCAAGCTACACTTTAACAGATGAAAACATCAGGGGGTTCACTGCCTTTTAAAAGACATACACTGCCCCCCAGTGGCTAAAGGTTTTTTATGACTTTACTTACTTCAAATAGCTCCAAAAACTGTTACCACCTTTAGAGGGCCCCCTTGTCAAAGGTATTGTAGCAGATTTCCCCTCCGTTTTCTCTGCCATACAGAAAGATCAAAATACTTCATATTCTAAAGTATGAGACACACAAACTGTGTGATTGGGCTTGTTGTACTCAGCGAAGAAAGGATGAGATTTAGTGATGTGACAATATAAGAAAGAGCATAAATGCCATTGTGTGCATTCACAAGCAGCAGGAGCAGATGGCATTTCAGAACCAATCACCATTTCAGATTCTATTGCCCAATCAGTTTTACATTTATATGTAAAGTAGCTTTCTGTTCCAGCAGACCAACAGATGGCTTGAAATGTAAGCTCAGGGACACTTATGTAAAGACTTTATGACTTCTGGTTTCCCATTCCAAACCAAAAACAGGTTTTAAAAATAGCAAATGGAGGCAATGGGCAGACATTACGACACGTAATGTGATTTTATCTCATGACAGTGGAGAAGACGTAGTGTTTAATGGCTTGAAATATTGGGTGCTCCACTCGAGAATGTAGTTTTATTTATTATTTTTGTTGTTTATTGCCACTTTTGATTTACTCCATATCTCAAATAGACAGGAGTACTCAGGAGAGTTAGAAGTATAAATAACATAAAAGGGCTCCTGGGCTGGATTTAATGCAATAGTCTCAAGGGAACTACATATGAATAGTTCATATGTATTTAAGTCCACAGGTAGTTATTAACTTGCTTTTGGGGGTGGTGTTTTAATATAATATGTATGTAATTTAAACTTTTTTACAGTGTATATATAAGTGTGTGTGTGCGTGTGTGTGTCACACATGGTGACATGACGAAGAGAGCATTCAGAAACTATTTTTGTTTTATTTGTTTTTTTAATATATTTCTATTTATTAGGTAGTTTATTATCTAACAGCAGAATGGTGCAGTTTAATAATACATCTTAATTTTCATAATATAATGTAATGTAAAATCTATGCAGTACACAAAGTAAACAATGTGTAAAGTGCATTCACTGAATCAGAATTTCAGTGGCTCAGTGTAATTCCAGTAACTGGATCAAGTAAGTTACAAAGCATAAATATAGGCTTACTTTTATTAAATTCCACCACAGTATGCTGTTGATTTGCACTGTTGCCTCATGTTGGGTAAATTGGCCATAGATTTCCATTTGTCAGCAGCCTGCAGTTGGTAGTTTATCCACCTTGGACAGACAGCTGACCTGTCCAGAGTGAACACTGCCTCACACCCTATGGTAGTTTAGATGGATGGATGATATTGTGAAATACCTTCAAATTTTTAACACAACTGGGCAACCGTTTCATGAGTTGCAGAACAAACAAATGGTGAAGGTACAGTTAAACTGGATACAGATTAACAAAAATATTTATGTTACCAGTGCTTTAACAGCTGTAATTGAGTGTAAAGCATGCACTTGATATATTGAAGCTGACATAACACAGAGAACTAAAAAATCTTGATATTTCAAATAAATTTGTCTAATTTTATTCTTGTCTACTGACCTAAAATAAATAAGCCAATGGACTAGGTTGTTTTTTTCTTTATGTAAACCCTATGCCATCTTAACAAATGATGAAGTATCACCACAGTAAGTAGGATTATAAACTTCATTAAGGCACTTTTTTATATGCCTTTGCTCAGATATGTTTCTGCAGATAAAGGGAAGTCAACAAAGAGAAAACTGCTTCTTTCCTGCTTATTTTTTTCTTTTCTTCTTACCACATATTGAGATGTTTCAGTAGATTAAAAACTGATCAGTGGAAGACAAGTGAAGGAAAATAACTGCATACAAAGAGGAGCGATTTTGTTTGATGAACAATAAGTTTGAAAAAAGTAAAGAAAAAGAAGCCACTCATTTAATGGCCCTTTTCTTTGGTTTAATAAAACAATAAAACAGACATTCACATTGAATACAAATCAAGTCTACAAAGAAACAGCACTTCCTTTGCTAAAAAAAAAAAGTTTTCCAGTTTCACTAAAAACCTGCTACATATACGTTTCTGTTGTGTGCTACATTCAGATTAGTCCTCTAACAAGCGTAATTTCTATATATCAGAGTGCAGCAGTGCATCCCACTTCACACCTGCAATGCTCGATGAGTAAAAAGCCACATTTGTCATGTGCTTGGTCAAAGTTCCTTAAGGCATTTATATGTGTATATATATATATATATATATATTATAACCTGGATGTCCCAGGGTCAAAATGGGAGATGCCCCCAAGGGTGGTGGAGAATGACCAAGCTAAGATCCTGTGGGACTTCCAGATACAGACGGACAAAATGGTGGTGGCTAACCAACCGGACATAGTGGTGGTAGACAAACATGAGAAGACGGCCGTAGTGATCGATGTAGCGGTTCCGAATGACAGCAAGTCAGGAAGAAGGAACACGAGAAGCTGGAGAAATACCAAGGGCTCAGAGAAGAGCTCGAGAAGATGTGGAGGGTGAAGGTGACGGTGGTCCCCGTGGTAATTGGAGCACTAGGTGCAGTGACTCCCAAGCTAGGCGAGTGGCTCCAGCAGATCCCGGGAACAACAGCGGAGATCTCTGTCCAGAAAAGCGCAGTCCTGGGAACAGCTAAGATACTGCGCAGGACCCTCAAGCTCCCAGGCCTCTGGTAGAGGACCCGAGCTTGAAGGATTGACCGCCCACAGGGGCAAGTGGGGAATTTTATTTTATTTTTTTATGACATCTTCCATCTATGGCATGAAAAATTTAATTCTCTCCAAACCAGGAGCAAATTCCACTGAGGATTGTTCACATATCTTCACCAAACAGTTATACAGTCATAACCCTCATAGCCAAAATACTTTTGATTAAAAGTGTAGATTAAAAAGGCTGACTTTTTACATCTTTACATGGCACTCGTGCAGTCACCTTTTGTGCTATACATTCTCTTTAGCATGCACTGCACTGTGCCTAACATGCATGCAAAACAGCAGAATCACCAACAGAAAAAAAAAACAGTGAAAGTAAAGAAAAAAAGAAAAAAAATCCTTCTCGCTTTAGAAATAAAATTATTTTCAATAGCCACAACAGACAACTTATTTACTAAACAGAACTATTGTCTTCATGCACAAAGGAGAAGTAACACAAAATACAGTGTCTCTGAAAATACTGTTTACAGTTTGTGCAAACACAATAATGCTCCTTATACTGACTTTCTTCGTAAATGAGGGAACTCCCGGAAACTATGGCCAAGTGAGATCCTGCTTCCTGGCGAAGTTAGTCCAGTGTTGTCCCTGGAACTTGGTGAACAGCCCTGAATCCTGTAGGAAACTGAGTTGTAATAAACAGAATTAACGTGGCAGCCACGATGTTCACTGTGGGACATAAGAGGGCTATCGCAAATCTCTAAACGGTAGCACATGCAGGAACAGAGGGAGCTAAGGCTCGACTCCTGTCTGCTTCTGCCTGCCTTTATCTGGAAATGCAACCTGTGCCTGCAGGGGCTTTTTCGTCTTTCCTGATCCACCGGAGAAGAGATGAGGTTGGTGCGACTGGTTCCTTCCTCCATCGGGAGGAAAAGTGTGCTATGGCTGTGCACCATGTTGCTCCGGTTCCTCTCACTGTGGCTATCTCTGCTTTGTTCCCCTAAAACACCAAGGCCCAGGGTCCCATCCAAAAGGCCTCTGTCTCTCTTCATTGAAGCCCTTTCTTGTGCATCCCGTCGCTCATCCTCAGTGTTCATGGTGAGAAAACGGAGCACCACTAAATTAAGAAATGCCCCGATAACAGTTAATCCCACCAGAATGTACATAAAGCTGAAAGCGACATAGGGCGTTTTCTCCTGGAGGTCCTCTTTTTTCTGCAAAGCCACAAAGTCCCCAAAGCCAATTGTGGTGAGTGTGATGAAGCAGTAGTAGTAAGCATGGAAGAAGCTCCATCCCTCAAAGTGGGAAAAGGCTGCGGCGCCCACACACAGTGTTCCGATGCAGGACAAAAAGCCCACCAGGACCATGTTCTCCATGGACACCTCAGTGCGTCGAAAGCCCAGGCATTGTTTCAGCTTATGTAAGAGATAGCGGACAAATGTGTTCATCCTCTCTCCCAGGCTCTGGAACATAACCAAAGTGAGAGGAATGCCGAGTACAGCATAGAACATGCAGAAGATCTTTCCAGCATCTGTTCCAGGGGCTGCATGTCCATAACCTTAATGCAAAGAGATGGAAAATGTAATGACACTGTGACGCATCATGAAGCAACTGTCTATTTTTAATCAACACGTCATTAAAACCAAGCCTCAAATATTGCATTCTTGCAGAAAAAATAATGTTGTGCTGTGAATTACGAAGCAAGCAAAGTGACACATCACCCGTCATTTCCAAAAACATAAAATAAAAAAGCAGAAGAAGCCTTACATTGACTTACCAATGGTAGTGATTACTGTTATGGCAAAGTAAAAAGAGCCAGCAAATTTCCACTGTCTCCCGGCGCGATGGGGCTCAGCTTGCAGCACTACTCTCTCGATTTCGCGGTAGTCGTCCTCGGAGAAGCGGTACTTCTTCTTCATTTCGTTGCGCTTCTGCTCCAAGATGCGCCGACGGGAGCTCTCCGACTCAGACTCCAGCGCGTCAAACACCGCGGCGCCCACCAGCAAGTAGGAGAACATGCAGAGGATGAGCGACAAGGTCCGGACGTTTTGCTTCTTCATTCTCGGCATCGGCACGAAAGTCGGAAGCACGGGCACGGTGTTACAGGTGGTACTGTTCTTCAGCTTAGACTCCACATTGGTTTTGCAGCCTGTTGCGTGAAATGTAATTTCACGAGGGGCGGGTGGGAAAATAACGCCTTTAACTCTTGACTGTGTTATGGTTCAGACGTCTTCTTTGTTTTTAAAACGCGCATATTTTCCTGTGCGTACCGAGAGCTATCGGCTCTCTGCGCCGTTATCTGTTTTAGTGGCCTCAGCTTGCCTTTTCGCATGCGCAAAACAATCACCAATAAAGAAGAAGAAGAAGAAGAAGAAGGAAAAATGTTTGTGTATATCTATATAACATAGATATATAAGACATAGCACAAAATACAAAGTAATATTTTTCGCGGATGTTCAGTTATGTTATGTGCAGCAATTCCTATGCCCATTTAATATGAAGAGGTTTGTTCAGCACCATGGACAGCAACCAGTGGGATTTCACATTTGACCTGGCACTGTGACTGCACATACTAAGTGGAGGCTCAAGAGGCTGTGAAGCAGGGAAAAGGTTCAGGTGCGTTTAATATGACTGAAAATCTTTGCAGACACCAAATCTGGGGAACAACATAACCATTAAAAAAGTAAAAAATTAAAAAAATTTAAAAAAAGCTCAAAGTTCTAACATCTGGTCGTGAAGTAAGTAATCCCCAGGTTAAACGAAAGTTAATTAAAATCCATTCAACTGTACAAACATTAAAATGAAAGCCTAATTTAAGCCTTAAATAATAAAAAATAAACATGTAAAGGTCCTCATGAGCTAAAGACATGGAAACAAATAAAATATCAGGTAAGACAGTGTTTAGAAATCTGGCGTATTGGATTTGTTCTATAAAATAGATCAGTAATAAAATAGCGAGAAAAATGAAGTAATAAAGATATCAACAACAACAAAATTAAGGAATCAAGTTAACAGTAAAAATTAAATAAGACTGAAGGAATAAAGTAAATATATACATATATATAGTTTATCCCAAATTACAATGTGGTCAAAAATACAAACGGAAGTTAAAATTCTGAGAAATACAATCTTAATTCCTTTTTTTAAATCAGTTTCCTTAGAGCGTTACTTATGTGAGACAGCTCTTGCGTTCATGTGCAGTGGCTAAAGAGGGGGGGGAAAGCACTGCTATTGTAGACGCTTCTAGAAATTTTTCTGTAGGTGATGCTGGTTGCTATGGTTACTTGTACCAGTGGCACAGACTTGGACTATCAGTGAGGTTGACACTAATAAGTTAACAGTAATGAAGCCGGTTTCGTTAATAACGTTGTCACAGCATCACAACATAAATTATCCTTATTTAGACCTTTTTTTAAGTTAAGCAAGAAGAATCCTCTGTATGTCAGTACAGGGCAGCAGCAGGTGGATTATTGTGTGTGCTTTTGTTCCTGTCAAACAGAGCAACCTGCTCTCCGTGGTCCTGTTTTTGTGGCAAAATCAGCGCACTTACATCCCTGTTTTGATTCAAACCAGCGCTCCATAAATCAATTACATCTCAGCTGATAAGAGAGGAACACAAAGCCCCAACAGCCACCCATCAATCCAGACAGCTTGTATTCACATCGTTTTCAAAGCCCAAGGACCTGGAACAAAGCGAGAAGGCCCATCAATCCCCACAGAGTTGAAGGATAAGTGTTTAGACTTAAACAGAAGCTTCATTAATCGAGTTATACCTGTTGTCTGTTTTCTCTAAGGTGTATTTTATTATAACCCCGCAGACCTACAAATTAATATGTCAGGAAAATATTAAGTAGACTATGGTGAGGTCATATTTATACACATTCAGCAGGATGCATTAAAGGCACTGTTTTCCTTTGTTCCCTAAACAGTACTTGTGTTTTGCTTTTTTCAATCTAATATTTATGATACTACAGTATGACACATCACAATGAAAACTTGAAATCAAGTAGTACATGTTCAAGGGCTGGATTATACTGTGTTTGCGTCCATATTCATTACATTAATATTAACTTTCTGACAGCTGCCACATGACAGCTGGTAAGTTTATAAGGCTAAATTATTTGTGGAGAAAAATGTGAACATAAACAGCTATGCTATGCAGAGCTGTGCACTGTCCACGCACAGCATTTGCTATTTTTGTTTTGTTTTGGTTTTTGTTTTTATCTCACAAAGTCAGTTACACCCACAGTGCATGTGGTAATTGGTAAGTGTATGCAGATTTTGCAAAACCTTGTTAAAGCTGCACATGGCATGCAGTGAAAAGAGAACCTCATGCCTGAAGGCCCATTTTTTTCCCACTAAATAAAACCCATCTGTCAGCTCTACAACAACAAAAATGCAAATCTGTCAAAATCCTGGAGGAGAGATTGTAAAAATTAATCTCCTCTACAAAAAAAGAAAAAGAAAAAAAACTTTCAGGGTCTTTTTGTTTAACAGGCTGCAAGGACAGAAGAAAGAAAATTATCTAGGGACAATACGTGTGATGCAAGAAGCAGCTAGACACAAAGACACGGACAGCTGTGGGTTTTTGAATCGAGATAATGAATTTCTTGTTTCTATAGCGTGGCGATTTAGGACAGCAAATAAGAAATTGTAGCAAAAAATCTAAATCAGATTGCTTGACAGCCTGGACATGTCATACTCTAATTTCTTTATGTCTTATTAAATATTTAAATTATGACCCTTTAAAAAAAAAAGAGATGCTGACATAACCTTCTTATATAAATTCTATATGTGAGAGCTGTGTCACAATGAATTGATTGAGCAGAAGTCACATCGGTTAAATCAGTGTCAGCACAGTATAACATACTGTCTTTATCAATAAAGAAAATACACTGCAAGAATAAAACAGTGTGTTGATCTATATGTATATATAAAAAAAAAACAACCACCCAGCACGCCCCTGCGGGCGGTTTATCCATCAAGCTCGGGTCCTCTACCAGAGGCCTGGGAGCTTGAGGGTCCTGCGCAGTATCTTAGCTGTTCCCAGGACTGCGCTCTTCTGGACAGAGATCTCCGATGTTGTTCCCGAAATCTGCTGGAGCCACTCGCCTAGCTTGGGAGTCACCGCACCTAGTGCACCGATTACCACGGGGACCACTGTCACCTTCAACCTCCACATCCTCTCGAGCTCTTCTCTGAGCCCTTGGTATTTCTCGAGCTTCTCGTGTTCCTTCTTCCTGATATTGCTGTCATTTGGAACCGCTACATCGATCACTACGGCCGTCTTCTTCTGTTTGTCTACCACCACTTCATTTCCTTTGTGAAAACCTAAAAGGCATCAAACATTTGTATTACTCTTGATGGACACTTTATAAAGTGTGCCCTTTAACAGTGGAAGCACAGAGTTCTTAAATGGCCAGCGAAAGCATATTTTGCACGTAATTAGGATTTTGATTTATTCTGATAATATGCAGTCGATACATTTTAACACACAAAGTCTGCACATCATTTGGTGACCACATTTAATGTCAGAATTATTATAACAGCAAGGTCATTATTAAAGTTAATGCACTCAAACTTAATCTTTCAGTGCTCGATTAACATGTGTAGAATACAGTGCATAAACGAGTATGTAAATGCTAAATATAATTATATTTAGATGCCATAAATAAATTAAATACTACATTTTAAAATGCTGGGACTGGGTTTTTATCAGAGATACAGGGTTTGTGCATAAAGGCACACATTTTTCAACATTTACATTATTTGTATGAGGAAGGAAAGGAAACAGAAACAGCTGTGTATTAATGATATCAACTTGTCCATAAGGCACATTATCTTCTCCTCATTGTAAGACTTATAATGCCTGGCTAACCATAGTAAAGTCAACAACTGGCAATTAAAATAAATACATACACCATGATTGTGCCCATTTGAAACTTTAATTGCTGTAAACCATCCACACAAACGTCATAGAGCCACTAGGTCCTTATTAGTAGGTTTTCAGATGGGTTTTCAGAAGTGACTGTGTGCATTTGTCCTATGCTTTAAGATGTAAGATCATTAAATAGCCACTGGTGAACAAACTATGAGCCATGCAGGGATCAAGAGAAACACATAAATGTCAGTGGTCTGGCAGCCGGGCCATGAGCTGTGTGCCTGCTTATGTTGGACATGTTGGATTACCTTGGGAGAGTTTAAGTCTGTCTTAAAGGAACGAGAGAACAGCTCTTTTACTCAGTGTGATTGTTTTTAATGTACTCTTAATTTGATCTGTTATTGTATATTTTACACATGTTTGTATGGGATATTGTATTTGTTTTAAATGTTATATACCTATGTTGTATGTGACTTTTGTTGCTATGATGCCAGGTCTCTCTTGGAAATGAGATTTTTAATCTCAATGAGATTTTTTACCTGGATAAATAAAGGATTAATAAAAAAAAAAAAGGGAGCAAATTAGCTAAAAGAAGTTTCTATGCAAACTTTGCTCCACTCTACTTTCCACCAGGTTTCATGAATTTCAGCTTCATTTTGCATAATCTTGCTGAAAAACAGACATGTCAGGACTAATTATGTACCTCCAGCTGCTAAGCACCTGAATTACTACCTAAAGTTACCAAACAGGAGTATTGCAACACAAAAAAAGACGAACTTGCAGATCGATCACAAATGGAAATATGACCATATATACTACTGGTAAAAGTGCTGTTGCCCAAGAAAATCTGTGTACTTACTGTGAAAAGAAAGTCTTGCATGCATGCCTTTATGTTTCTGGATGGCAGTGCAACAGATTTATTGAATTTGTGTTTTTTGTGGGGGTTTTTTTTTTTAATCATTTCTAGTTAAGTAAATTAGTTTAAAATTGGCTTAAACATATGGTGCTTTTTGCAGAAGTATCCACAAATGTTCAGCCGGTCCAGGTGTCTTCTTGTTCTGTTGCAGATGATCCTTAATTCCAACCACCAGCCTGTTGCCGGAAGCTCATAGTCAGAAGGGGTGGCAAGGGTTAGGCATTATATTACTATCAAATCTCTGACAAACACAGCTAGATGGGCTTACATGCTTTTTCTAATCTCTGTGTAGAGCTTCTCATCTGTACTGAACTCGCTGGGGGGGAAAAGGCGACAGAGAATCTGTTTTATGAGGCAGAGGTACTAAATAGCAACAGCAAATACTGGATGCCTGCAGAGCCCTCTGGTTTCCACAGTAACTGAGACCAAAAATAGTAACCCACACCAGCGGCTATTCAACACTGAATCCCCTGTGATAACACATGATTCTATTTATACCTTCTAATGCTGAAATACTGGCGTCTCGTATAAATAACTCTGTCCAATTACTGTCAAAAAATGATATAATGGTCCAATTATATGTTATCACCTCTTAATCCTTGTTTATGCTGCAGGTTCTTATTGTATGAAACCTAAATGCAAGTTATTAGACCGTTATGCTGAAGATATTGCACGAAAGAAAATACACAATCACATAACTTGTCAGTGTGCATTTTCTGGCATCAATTAAATAACTAGTTAGTAGACAAAAAATGTCATGATCTAATTGATCATGTCATTTTTTTAAGCTGAAATAATAAAACAAAGTTGCACTGTTTAATAACTAGTAAAAGATTAACTTGGGATTTTAGGCTGTTGGTCAGACAAATAGTAATAGTAGTAAGTGATATCATCTCACCATAAGAAGGTTCCCAGTTTTCAAACTTCCTGGTTTGCTGAGGGATTTTTGAGTGGGTTCTCATGCCTGCAAGGGTTTCCTCCTACGGTCCAAAGACATGCTTGTTGTTATGTTAATTGGTGGTTCTATATTGGCTGGACTGTTGTGTGAGTGTGTGTGTGGTTGTCTGGCTTGTTGTGTGATATACTGCCCCCCTGCCCCAATGACAACAGGAAAAGTGTGCATCCTTATAGACAGAATAACTCCCTCCTGACCCAGAAGTAGATGGCTTTGTGAGTGAGTAGGAAATTGAAAGATTGCCTTTTTTGTTGCTATTGCTCAAAAATATATATAATAATCAAGATTGCAAATAACTGCTCATTTTAAGCAAACCTTCACATTTATAAAAGTTGCCAGATCACTATGTGCATTGTTGGATTTTTGACCTTCCTTTAATATCTGAGACATTCAGCTACCAGACAGGAGGGGCATTAGATTCACATGTCATCTACAAATGAAATGAGATAAATTAGTAAGACACATTTTAGGTTTATTGGTCTGGTTAGTTTTCCTATTTTTATATCGTTTTTCTTTATGTAGAGCTGTTTGTTTGTTTTTTTCATTAATGCGTTAATCAGTCCTCATCTCTCATTCCTGCCCTGTTGCTTCGTTATTATATAACAGTAAAGTGAAAGTTTTTTCTGCATTTAAGATATGCTGTCTGACTCAGCTGGTTTGCGGGTTTTAACACCGCTAACCAGCTCAGTAAGCTGATGTCTTCGGGGTGTATCGGAAAAGCGCGTTGCTAATGAGTATATTTAAAAACCCAAACGATTGCAAATAACACCAAAATGGAGTTAGATTTATATGATAACGTTTACTAAGAGAGGGTTTTAGCAATACATAGCTTCCAGAATTAATAAATATAAAATATAGGTGGATTAAAGTGCTAGTAAACGTAGTTAAGTCACGTGGTTGATTTTTAAATGAAGCTCCTGAAAGCAGCACTAGGACTGCAGCCGCCAGCGAAGCCGCTATCTGATGATGGTAGACCTGAAAGACGGATGGTCAGGGCCGTCCTCGTCTAACCTGAACATGCAAGTGTAGCTTCATTCAGCAACGGTTGCAGCGCTAAACCAGGCTACTCGACAATTTAGCCTTAGCTAGTCGCATATCTTTTTTTTATTAAAGCATGGAGGACGATTGTGTTTGTGAGTACGACTCCACCTGGGACACAGAGAGTGATGGAGACGACCCGGCCGGAGAGAGCCAAACCCGTCGGTCAAATCAAGACAAAAACAAATCGAGCTGGGCTTTAGTACGTGCTTTTATTATTACTCAGCCAGAGGACAAAGGACAAAAAAACCCTACTGTGCCTTAGTGTAGCTCGTTTCTTTTACATGCAATGCTACGTTTTCTGTTGCCTGTTGTGGAAAGCTAACGTTAGCTTTACGCATCACTGCTGCGACTTTGCTAACTAGCCTAGCTTGCTGCTAGTTTACTTTTTAGTTGAAAATCGTCGTCAATGTTTACTCTGGCCTGCTCACAGTTAGCAGTAGTCTGTGAGTCATAGTTAGAATGGAGGAGGAATTAATTAACATCTAGACTTAATTCATTGCAACAGTGGGAATTTTATTAACCAGACCTTATATGGCAACTCCTATGACGTTATCAGGAACAGCATAGGTCGTGACACAATTATTAATGACCCCTTGATTTGTAGTATATCAGTTCAGGTTGTTTATACTTCTAATGCAATACAATGCAAGACCTGTATTTAATTTATGTGAGACGCCTGATGCATATCAATGTATTTTATTATGTATGCTTAATATTTGCAGTGGCACCACACGCCCAGAAACATGAGAGCAGCAAAGGACATGCAAAACTACAGGAGAGGATACCCCGTAAGTTACACCTCAGCTCATCTCTTAAACAAAAAAATCGTGCTCATAGCTGAAAGATGTTAAAGTCTCCTTTATTCTGTTTGGACAGAATCTTGCAGACGAGGAGTGCTCAGAGGACAAAATGAACAATCTGCAGTTTTATCTCAATAAGTTTCCCTCTGCTCCTGATGGTAAAATACTCATATGTTTGCATATAATATAATATTTGCTGTATGCGTGAAAGTCGTGCTTGTGGTGATGATACCAATATTTTGTCTCATTTGTCGCAGATATCTACATTGAATCCTTTCTTAAAGAATGGAAAAACGACTACAAACGGCTGGAGAGAGTTCACTCGTACATCCAGTGGTATGTACTGTTTGACACTTTGAACTTTGTACTTTAGCCATATCCAGCCTAACGGCAACAGAACTGGCCACAGCTTACTTTTGCCATCTTGATGAACTTGTAGTCTGAAGCCTGTTACGCATGCACACAAACACATTCACTCGTTTCTCATTTTGTACTTCCTTCATTCCTTGCTTCCCCTTCTCGCAAACAGGAAGAGACATTATTAATTCTCAGTAGGGTTGATTAAATAGGACATGAGCCACACTTGCATTATTTTCTGTTATTGCCCAACTTCTGCTTTATTTTATGATGTCAGATGTAACTGTCTTTTTTCTTTTTTTTTTTCTTTTCACTAAAGCTGGTTACACAGTCTACTGTATTTAAGTAACTAACACTACTCATGAATACTGATTGGACTAGTTGTTTGTAGCATCCTTCCATCTGTGCTGTGCAAAAGTCCTAAGCCACCTGTCATTTCTTTATATTTTGCTTTTAAGGAGACATAGTTAGAGCAGGACATCTATTAATGAGAAGGCTGGTAGTTTGATCCCTGGGTGCTCCAGTCTGCATGGCGAATATCCTTGGCTGGATACTAATCTCCTAGCATCTATCAGAGTTTGAATGTTAGATAAAAAGTACTTAAGCATAGAAAAAGTGTTTGTGCAAATGAGACATTTTGTATAAAGCACTCTGAGTGCTCCGGTAGAGTAGAAATAATATAAGAATCAGTCTATTTGTTAAGCCTAAAAAAGCATCTACTTCAAGGGGTGATCTACTGCTGTCTACACATAGCAGACAACTCAGCAAAGAACCAATTTTGAATTGTATCTGTAAGCACTTTAGTCCTCACAGCCTGTCACAAAAACAGATTTTTTTCCTATTTCTTTTGTTGAATCTAGTGGAAAAGCCAAAAATAACAATTCGAAAGGCATAAAACTGTATTTTTGCAACGAACAAAGAGAGCTATTAGCCAGAAGCCTGGCATATCTTTACTGTGTGTGTGTGTGTGTGTGTGTGTGTGTGTGTGTGTGTGTGTGTGTGTGTGTGTGTGTTTGTGTGTGTGTTTTTAAAAACAAATTGGAAGAAACTGGACAAGTGAAGGATACAGTAGGAGGTGAACTATATCATAAAAGTATGCCTTTACAAAATATGAAACAAATCTAGCAAAGACCTGGCACAGGAGATGCATCTGGTGCTTTGGTTGGTCAGTCTATTGTTCACTGAAACCTTATCAGAAATGGCCTCAGTGAAAGGGAATTGGGGAGAAAAGGCTGAGGTATGCCAAATTACACAAGAACTGCACTGAAAATCAATGGCAATGGGTCTTAAGGTTCAAATATGTCAATATCTATGGAGGAGTTAAGGAGACAGACTCGATGGTGAGTGTCTACAAAATACAGTGGAGGCTGTGTCATGGTTTGGGGCTGTCTTTTAGTCAGTGCTGTTAGCGATGATTTTAAAATTGATAGGTGGATGATTGCAGAAAAGTACCCTCAGATTTTGATCCACCGTAAACTACCATCTGGAAAGAGTCTTATAAGCAACGCTTTCATTTGGCACCATGATCCCAAACTCAGTGCAAATACACTAAAGGCGTACCTGGATAGGAATTGTAGTGGAGAACTATCAGTCATGTTTTGGCCTTCCCACAGGCTGGACATCATTGAAGCAGTGCAAGATCATCTTTACAGAAAACTGAACAGGCAAGAAAGAAGCCTGGAAAACAATTCCTGAAGACTACTTAAATAAATTACAAGAAAGTTTGTTTATATACCAGATGCTGACTGTCAAAAAACTCAGTTTTTGCTTTTTATATACTGATTTTCCATGCATGTTTGCACATTTCAGTAAATCACTAACACCTATTTTCCTAGCAAAATATAAAGAAATAAGGGCTGACTCAAGACTTTTGCAAAGTACTGTATATTTCAGCTGCGTGCCTAGGACACACCTGTACAACCTCAGTTATAGCTACATCGATACGCCTCTGTTCTCCTGACACGTTTTAGGATTTGAGATATTTTTGAGCATGGAGTACTGAGATCGATTTCCAGATCACAGGCAGGAGGATTGAGGAGACGGAGAAATGAGAGAAGCCTACGCTCTACATGTGCACAAGATGTCAAGTAGCAAATGCTTTTCCACATCCATAGTACATACCAGAAATAGATGGAGTGTTCACAGTGGGAAAAGAATTGTTACATATACCCTTTCCTTTCGTGGCACGTTAATAGTTTTTACATTTGTTACTGTAAACTGCCAAAAAATAAACGTTAATACACTGAAGGATGTCACGTTTGTTTACACAGTGGTGTTTTGTTTAAAAATGTTTTTAAGAACGAAGCAATTTATGAAATTATAGGATATACATGTTCTTTTAAAGTATTGGATAAAGGCACTAGAATATATTATATTTGGGTCATAAACTGTTCGCAGGGACATCTGGTGTCAGCACCACTGAATTAAAGTGTCGTGTCATTAGAAGTTAATTGGTCTTCTGTTGTTTCTCTCTTGAACTGTCTGCTGTTGCAAGGCTGTTTCCACTGCGAGAACCAGGGGTTAATTACATGGCTTCAGAACTTACCAAGAAGGAAATTGAGGTAAGTGTAAAATGGAAAGCGCTCTCACCAAACAGTAGCAGAGTTGGTCAACAGTGACTTTCTATCACAACACAAAGCAACTGAAAAAGAATTAAGGTTAATGCCATAAAGTTGTCAGAGTCCAAAGTCGGAATGAAATGAAGTCTATTGAATCTGGACTGGAACTGCCAGGTTAAATCAACCAAAAGACTGCTATAGTTTTCCTAAAATTACTGTCTTGGTCAGGTACTCTGACTTCCTCACACAGTCCAAAGACATGCAGTTAGGTGGGTTACGCTAACTGGCGATCCTAAACTGACCGTCGGTGTAACTGTGAGCATAATTAGTTGTCTCTCTGTTAGCCCTGCGACAGACTGGCGACCTGTCCAGAGTGTACCCTGCCTCTCGTTCCAGCCCCCCAACCCACTTTGTTTGACCATTAACTGTGAAACAAAGTCAGTTTGTTGGACAGGTTAAATTTCTTATGTTTTCCATAATAAGTTCATCACATAGTAATGTTGACTGTTTGTTTGGTAACTATTCCTAAAAAAAAATGTAGCATGAGAACTGTCAGTGTCTACAATATGGCTGCAGGTTGATGCATTGGCTACAGGTCTGTTGGTGTCTCCACAGCCAAATTTATTTAATTCTTTTACATTGTAAGGAAACAAAAGAGCAAATGCAGTGGCTATATGCATGTCACTAGGCAAGTTCTACGATTCTTTCAACAGCATGTTGAAAAAGGAAACAAAATATGTGATGTAACCTCTTTGCAGCATTGTGGCTTTCCTGCCTCTAGGAGCGCCCAATAAAAGGTTACCGTAGAGGTCAAAAGGTCAAATAAGATGCATCACTGAAAATTTGACAATTTCATTTCATATTTGATACAGTTCTAGCCAGTAAATCTATTTTCCTTTTTCTTTTTTTTTTCTTTTTTTTTTTTCTTTTTAAATGTGCTGTAAATTCTCACCAGGCCTTCAAGAAGAATGAAGATGCCAAAAGGCGACTAGTCGAGTCCTATGAACTCATGTTGGGTTTTTATGGAATCCGTTTGGTTAACAAAGAGACGGGTGAAGTGAAACGTGCAGAAAATTGGAAGGAGCGCTTTGGGAATCTGGAGCGGTAAGTATTATTATTCTCATGTCAGTAATTTCCCGCATATGTAGTAGTTGTTTTTGTGATTACAGCTTCAGCTGCCTTGTCCTTTGCAGGAATATGCACAACAACCTGCGGATAACTCGCATATTGAAAAGCCTCGGGGAGTTGGGCTTTGAGCACTATCAGGCTCCTCTGGTGCGCTTCTTCCTGGAGGAGACTCTGGTCAAAAAGACTCTGAGCAGTGTTAAACGGAGCGTGCTCGACTACTTTCTGTTTGCTGTGCTGGACAAGCATAAACGTCAGGAGCTTGTGCGCTTTGCTTACCTTCACTTTGAGCCAAAGGATAAGTTTGTGTGGTGTCCCAGAAAGGTTCAGAAGCTATTCAGAAAGGCAGAGAAGAGACCTGACACTATAGGGAATGGTGATGGAAAGGAGGAAGTCTTTTCACGTGTTAAAGGCAAAGATGGAGAAGCAGCCCTGCAACAGAAGGAAGATGGACTGGATAGTGTTGCAAAGGCTCAGAAAGGAACTGTTAAAACTGCAGTTAAGGACAAAAGCAAACCATCCGAGGCATCCCCTGAGCCTAAACCAGAGTCTGAAGTAATCGAAAATGGAAGTGTGGAGACTGAGTGTAATAATGAAATTTTGGGTAATGGAAATGACTCTTCAGATGACGTTAATGAAATGGAACATTCGCCCAGTAACGACACTGTGACAGGAAAAAGCGAGTCCTGTGCAGACAGTGAGCTGAAATCTACAAGTAACTCAAATGACCAGGATGGAGACATCAATATGCAAACGGAAGAGGATGTAGAACCCGAAAAACCACCGAAGAAGAAAAGAGAAGATAACATGGTGCTGCCAAGCAATGGCCTGGCTGGGGGCTTAGCCGGTGGGCAGATAGAGGAAAAAGCTGTTCCTAGTAAAGCCACTGGTCAAACGAGCCCGTCAGTGCAAACTCCTCATAAGACTTCAAAACACCCGCCCTCTCTGTCTTCAGAAAGGGAGGAAAAAATCCCTAGGACTGATTTTAATCAAGTGTCACATAAAAAAGAAGCAGACGAAACGTTGCAGGACAGTATGTCTGCAACAAACGGGTCACTGATGAAAACCGACAACGGTGTGGATGAACAGACAAATGGGAAGGAACCCGAGGATATTGACATGGAATCGAACCCCACGAGCTCAGACCAGAATGTGGGGAACTCATTAATGAACTGATTCATATTAAATTAAATGGAAAAAATGTAATATAGGGACAAAGTATGGCTTAAAATCTTTCTAGGCCTTATTTCTACTATATTTAATGTTAAGATGTTAACTTTGAAGGACTATACAGCTATCAGCCACAACATTAAAACCACTTTGAGGTTGAAGTAAATAGCACTGATCTTACAGTTTCTACGGCGAAACATTACGTCCTGGCTTTTATATATTTTGATACATATCACCTACCTAAACATTGTTATAGAACACGTACATGCCTAGTTGATGTACTTCCTCACCCAGCAGGATACGTGACCCAACACACCACAAAAACTGCTCAGGAAAAATGACAAATCACCCATAGTGTTGACCCAATCAACACCAATGTCCCCAGAACCCAATCCAACATGCCAGACGGAGCCCAGACTATGAAAGACCCAACTCTCAATGATCAGGACCCAAACTTCTTTATGTCAGACACCACCAGACTGTGTCCATGCTTTGGATGAGGTTGGTCAGAGCTGTTTGGTGGAATGAGGAGGACCTGCACAGTGTTATGTAGTTAGTTGTAATGTTGTGGCTGATGGGTATATGAATTGATTAATTTGTTAAATGTGGGACCGGATTCGACTCTTATTTCTACATGGCCATCAGACAATATTAAAGGATAAACACGACGTATTGTATATTTTTGACTTTTAAACCAATCCCAAAAAAAAGGACCAAAGTGTGTGATTAGTTAAGCCTCAGTCACACAGGCCTAGAGACCGATTGGCAACTGCCTGGCAACCAGTGGTTTCTATAGGAAAATTAGTATTGCTTGACCAGTTGCAAGCAGTTGCTGTGAAATTGTTAATGAAAGGCCCACTTTCATGAACAAGGGGGACCTCGAGACCCCCTCTGGTAACCAACGGGTAAATGTGCAACAAGTTGATGGGTGGTTGCAGGAGGTTGCTTGCTGTTGCTCAAGGAAGCTGGTGGCAGAGAGATGTACAGTGCTGCACCAAAGGTTTGTGTGCGGGTGCTTTGGTCACTAGCAGGTTGCTGCAGTCGCTAGTAGTTTGCATGGATGACGCTGGCTTGCAACGCAAAATATAGAACATTCGCCTTTAAAGTAACAGTTGTGCCTTTTGATGCTCAAACCAACAAGATGCAACTTTTACTTTGATACAAACCTTCTCAGTTTCTGGTGTGCTAGCACCCAAAGCAATCACAAGGAGTTCTTTGATGCCACCACGCTCTTTACAACCAATTTCACACAGCAACAGTCAGCAGCTTTTCACCAACCAGTCAGGTAATATATATTTTTCCCTAGAGATCAGGCTGGTCGCCAACTGGTCTCTAGGCCTGTGTGACTGAGGTCTTAGACTCTGAGTAATTTATATACTCTTGAGTATACTGTATGTTATGTACAGTAGCAGGAGAGTGTCTGGGAGATTGAAATGGTGGGTCACTGATGCATTTTCAGTAGTTTTAGAATGACAGTGGAGCTCTCTGGCACCTAGAGCCTGACTGCAATATGCAAGTTGGATAAATCTACTGCTATTTTTGGTCTTCTGCTTTTTGTCAACAGTAAAAATATAGAATATGGCCTGTCTTATCCTTTAAAGTCGTTATGACTAAGACTGTCAGCAGCAGATACTTAATAATTTTGCAGAATTCATAAAGTACTATTATTACTGAATATCAATGAAATGAAGTTTTCAGCGTTTTTAACACCTTAATACTTTGAATTTTGAACATTTTTTTTGCACTGAGAAATAATGAATTTGAAGAGCTTTTTTCCCTCTTTGAGGTGTGTGTGTGTGTGTGCGTGTGTGTGTGTGTGTGTGCGTGTGTGTGCGTGCGTGCGTGCGAGAGAGAGATTCTTGTGTTTCTGCTGGATCCTGCTGTTAAAATGGAATTAATACTCTGTATCATTTAAGTTATATTTCAGTAGTGTTGCACAGTCTGTATGTCTCCATGCGGATTTGGGAGGTAGACTTTTGAACAACTGAAATCCTTGCCAAAAATGTGATAAGACTGGTTGATTGTACAATGTGTAATTCTTTGTGGCAGAATTGATAAAGCTTTGGATATAATTTAAAGTCTGCTGTATGTTAATTTGAAATGGGTACAGTCTGTGAACTTACAAGCCAGGGTGATTATATCGATGCATCTTTTTATATTTGCACTTAATTTCCACTGTTATTGTTCAAGTTACTGTATTTGCAAAATGAAATGGTTATGACTTTATATATTCCTTTTTTTCCCTCCTGACTTACCTGGCCGTTAATGAAGCAGAATAAAGCTGTACTATTTTCTGATTTTTTTTTTTTAAATGCATTTCTGATGTCGGAGTCCAGATTTTGTGTTAAAATTGCATTTCTTAAGAACACACCGAGATGGCAGACAGCATTTGCGCCAATTCCCAAGACCCTTGCTTTTTCTGTGAAACTGTTATGTCGACTGAAATATGAGTTGTTTTTAGTATACAAATTTGGCTGTGTGAAAAGATGTGACTCAAAGCAGCGACAAGAAGAAAAAGGATGGATATTGATGCACAACAACTTGTTCAGGACTCAGGAGCAGTGTGGAGTCGAGGGCGTAAGGGAGAGCTAGAGGTACACACTGCTGGAGTTTCAGCATTGTTTTTATGCCCACCCTCAGTCGTTACATATACCCTTCCCCTCTTTGGAATATTAGACATACCTCAATGCAATATTTTACATTTAAATTACACAAAACTTGCAATGTGTCACTAATTTTGTGCTGCTTTAGCTCATCCAGCTGATGGTGTCGGTCCATAATTTACAACAGTCACTACTTCTCTTATGCTACAGGTCAAATCTTTTAGAGAAGGTCACACACAGCGATCGCCAAACAGTTATTCAACCAAATTGCTCTCAAGGTCACATTTTATGATAACCTGTCAAAACTTGGCTGGTTGTGAGTGTTAGCTACTATGTCACTGATGAGATATGATGATGTTCTTTATCTGAAGTGGGGCTGAAACGCCTAATGGCTTAAATGGTTAAATACCAAATATTTACTTGTTCAAGCAACTGAATTCTGAGGATTTAATGCTCTTTCTAAACTGTTGGTCGATGATCATTTGAGTGTCTTTGGGTCTTAACAACATTTACACAACCTTCATTTTAAATAGGTTGTTCATTCTTATTTTTCTGTGCATTTCCTGATGTTCTATATAGCAAAATGTCCATAGCTTGCGAGAATGTAGTTTATATCCATCGAACTGTTCTCTGCTTCAACAAGTGGTTAACGTGAATAGCTCAACCATGGATGCGCTTTGTTGTGCCCCTGTAAACTGTAATGGCTCAGTCACACTAGAGTAAAAATAGGACAACGGCCTTCTTGCAAATAGTTAAACTGGTTGTCCAGTGACTTCACCGATTTTGCATTTGGCAACTGATTTCAAGTAGTTGTGACAGCCTGCTGGCTAGCTTGCCTGCTGGGCTCCATCCATTGACTCATTTGGTTGTTAACTGGTTGTATTTGAGTACACTTCTATAGAAGAGCAAGGTTGCCTAGTGCTTACATCATTTTGCCTTAAATCGCCATCCTGCAGCCACTATGTCATTGTGAGGTTATGGCTGAACTCTGAAAGTAGCTGATGTTAGTTTCCGTGAATGTAGACCACAATATTGCCATTTCTCCAGCTCATCACAGTTAATTGCTGTATTATCACAGATAATAATACTTTTTTTCTTCATTTGTCTAAAGAAAAACTCCAGGGAAGCTTTGTTAAGACAAGTAACTCAAGTTGACTTCATTCAGTCGCAGACTGATAGACTGATTCTAACTTAGTGCCATTTTATCACCATGTTGCTGCATTGTTCATGCCACGGTCTTCAACCACTGTTGTCCTTCCAGCTACAGTCACACTAGACAAAACAGTGGTTGGAGACCACTGCCTGACCAAAAATATTGCACCTATGTGCAATCAGCTTGCAGTCTCCTGCCTCTGAAATGACCCTGATCACATGATCTCAGAAACCTGTGGAGGATGGATGGATGAATGCAAAAATACACTGGTGTTTGTCAATGCAGGGATCTAAAGCTCATAAGGAGAATCTTAAGGTGGACTCTGAATTAATAGAGAGGCAGTAAAAATGAATTAGCAATGATGTGACATGTGAGTACTTAGAAGATTTGGTTAGAAGCCTCGCAGGGGCATTCTAAAAAACCTGCAAATGTTTTGTTCACTTCACAACCTCCAAACAAGTTTTCTTAATTGCACAATGACTTAAAAATAAAACCCAGAGATGAAATAAAGGGAAGTAATAAAAGTAAGAGCAAACCAGAGATTAGAATGAGAAGATTTAGCAAAAGTAGCAAGGGCATCTAGAGTTTCTGTTACCATCAGCGCACACGAGGATTTCTGTTTTCATTAAGATGGAGAAAATTGTTAGCCATCCAACTTTTGGTAGCACTTCATAATCATGTTAAACTATTAAGCATCATTAAGGTATTAGTAAGTATTTGTATAGCAATACTCCTCCGTAGTATGCCACTTCTACATACAGATACTATTATTATGATGATGATTATGATTATTACTAGCAGTGATAGCTGTACATGGAGTAACAGATGAATAAATGTCTGTATTTATGAATAACATACTGAGGAGTAATGGTATATAAATGATGAATTAAGTACTTGCTAACACCTTACTGATGCTTAGTGTGACATAAAGTGATACCCAAGTTTCAATAGTCTAAGCACCTGTGCAATATCTGTAGTAGGGCTTAATAGATCTATCTATCGATCGATCGATCGATCGATCGTGTGGTATTGATAAGAAATGTCCTTAAAATGTTCAAAATGTGCTACAGAAGATATAACAGAAATGTTAAAGGCCCCAAAACAAAACCATGTGGCAATTTTTGTCAAATTGATGAGAATCACTCCAAAGCAGACCCCAATAAACCCACCCAGTATCTCAACCTATCAACCATAGCTTGGTCACTCACTGGTGACACGTTTCAGTGGAATACAGTGGGGCAAAAAAGTATTTAGTCAGCCACCGATTGTGCAAGTTCCCCCACCTAAAATGATGACAGAGGTCAGTAATTTGCACCAGAGGTACACTTCAACTGTGAGAGACAGAATGTGAAAAAAAAATCCATGAATCCACATGGTAGGATTTGTAAAGAATTTATTCGTAAATCAGGGTGGAAAATAAGTATTTGGTCAATAACAAAAATACAACTCAATACTTTGTAACATAACCTTTGTTGGCAATAACAGAGGTCAAACGTTTACTATAGGTCTTTACCAGGTTTGCACACACAGTAGCTGGTATTTTGGCCCATTCCTCCATGCAGATCTTCTCGAGAGCAGTGATGTTTTGGGGCTGTCGCCGAGCAACACGGACTTTCAACTCCCGCCACAGATTTTCTATGGGGTTGAGGTCTGGAGACTGGCTAGGCCACTCCAGGACTTTCAAATGCTTCTTACGGAGCCACTCCTTTGTTGCCCGGGCGGTGTGTTTTGGATCATTGTCATGTTGGAAGACCCAGCCTCGTTTCATCTTCAAAGTTCTCACTGATGGAAGGAGGTTTTGGCTCAAAATCTCACGATACATGGCCCCATTCATTCTGTCCTTAACACGGATCAGTCGTCCTGTCCCCTTGGCAGAAAAACAGCCCCATAGCATGATGTTTCCACCCCCATGCTTCACAGTAGGTATGGTGTTCTTGGGATGCAACTCAGTATTCTTCTTCCTCCAAACACGACGAGTTGAGTTTATACCAAAAAGTTCTACTTTGGTTTCATCTGACCACATGACATTCTCCCAATCCTCTGCTGTATCATCCATGTGCTCTCTGGCAAACTTCAGACGGGCCTGGACATGCACTGGCTTCAGCAGCGGAACACGTCTGGCACTGCGGGATTTGATTCCCTGCCGTTGTAGTGTGTTACTGACGGTGACCTTTGTTACTTTGGTCCCAGCTCTCTGCAGGTCATTCACCAGGTCCCCCCGTGTGGTTCTGGGATCTTTGCTCACCGTTCTCATGATCATTTTGACCCCATGGGATGAGATCTTGCGTGGAGCCCCAGATCGAGGGAGATTATCAGTGGTCTTGTATGTCTTCCATTTTCTGATGATTGCTCCCACAGTTGATTTTTTTCACACCAAGCTGCTTGCCTATTGTAGATTCACTCTTCCCAGTCTGGTGCAGGTCTACAATACTTTTCCTGGTGTCCTTCGAAAGCTCTTTGGTCTTGGCCATGGCGGAGTTTGGAGTCTGACTGTTTGAGGCTGTGGACAGGTGTCTTTTATACAGATGATGAGTTCAAACAGGTGCCATTCATACAGGTAACAAGTGGGGGACAGAAAAGCTTCTTACAGAAGACGTTACAGGTCTGTGAGAGCCAGAGATTTTCCTTGTTTGAGGTGACCAAATACTTATTTTCCACCCTAATTTACAAATAAATTCTTTACAAATCCTACCATGTGAATTCATGGATTTTTTTTTCACATTCTGTCTCTCACAGTTGAAGTGTACCTCTGGTGCAAATTACTGACCTCTGTCATCATTTTAAGTGGAGGAACTTGCACAATCGGTGGCTGACTAAATACTTTTTTGCCCCACTGTAAGCTCTAAAAGCCAGACTGAAATTTATCAAGAATCCTGTATTTGTATCAAACAGCTGTTCTCTCAGATGCTGAGGGTGAAGACTCAACCAGCTGTTAACTATTCTATTCGACTCCTAAAAAGACAAGAATCTAAAAAGAAACTAAAAACTCATGGAAAACGTTTGGATACATCAGGAGAGCAGCAGAGCTTTCCCCGTTTACTTCTGGATAATCAGGCTCCTTTTAACAACCAGAGGTGTCGCCCCTGCTGGCCAATGGTTTTTTTTTTTTTTTTCTTTTTTTTTTTCCCCTTCCTTTTCCTTTTTTGAGTTTTTTTTGGGGGGTTTTTTTGGGGGTAATTCGGCCCACATTTTCAGAGTCCGAAATCTTGTCTCCCCTCTGCATACTACCACCTTCTCCACCTCCCACCCCCCTCTCGCCTGTGTTCAGCCAGCTAGATTGAGTTCAGCCCCTTCGGCTGGAGGCTCGGGTTTATCTGGAACTAAAGAGAAAGCTATTCAGGAGCTGTGCGCCGCCAGGTGAAGGAAGGCTCCGTTTTGGACGCTGGGGGGGAGCGAGAGAGGACCGAGGGCCGGGGATTTGACTTTTTCTGTATAAACTCGGGTTTGTGAGGGCGAGTGGGGAGCTATGGCGGTGCTCTTTGCGCTTTGGGTGCTTTTATTGTCCCAACTATTGATATCATCCTCAGCCCAGGTAAGAGTTACTAAGTTATTACCCTTCTTTTTCTTTGCGCGTCATTGGTGATGGGTTTGTTTTTTACCTGCAGATCTCATGTAGTAAGCCAGTAATTTAAAAAGTGTGTCTTTTGTTTTGGTGACAGTGATGATGATGATGATGATGACAGAAGTGACTCTCTTCCGGCAGGTTTCAGGCAGACATTTACACACTACCTGAGAACCTGATGCTTTCTGTAAACCTTTTTCCTTAGTTGTACATATATTGTAATTAATCCTGACAAATTAAAGAGGAACTAAAATGAACAGGGGTGTCTCTGGTTCTGCAGGTTTGTTGCTCTGCAGTGTAATTGTGTGCAGGTGGCTCTCTTTTGCGCTAGTTAGTGAAGTCAGGCCGAACCTGTGGAATGCGCGGATTGGAGATCAGTGCGCACAATGAAACCTCTGTTCACTCCCTGACTGAGCTGAGCTGTGGAGCAAGTCTTTAGAGCAAAACTGTTGTATTGGGTGATCATAGCAGTACAGGTTTAATTGAAGAGGATTCTCATAGTGTTCTTACAGCACTGATTTGAATAATGATTTTCATCGTGATGTATATGGTTGCCGTTACATCGTTAATATTAGTTGTATTATTTTCTATCTCTCTCCCTCTCTCTTATTCAGTCTCACAGTCACTGTGTCAAAATATGCCAAACATTTATCACCACTTTCTGTTGCCTCCAAATTTTTACTGCATTCCATCAAAAGAGGGTTGATTCTCATTAATTTCATGTTCCAGAGGCCAGGCCTCAGAGGAGCTCCTGGCCTACAAGGACCCCCAGGGCCACCAGGAAGGGATGGCACTGACGTGAGTAGACCAAGGGTGTCTGCATATAAAAACACCTCTCTGTCACTTAGACTATTAAACATGCACCAAAGTTCAAGACGATGGGAGTTAAGAGTAGATGGTACGCACTTATATTTTTGTGGGTAATAAACCCACATTTATTTATTTATTTTAGATTTATTTTCATATTTTAAGCAAAATTGGGAGTAAAAGTAGAGAATAAGAATACAGACAGATGTTTTTTTTTAACCGAAAATTTAGCTTATATAGAAATTCACACTCAGTTACGTATGGTATACTATGGTTTGCTTGTGCTTAGGTGTGGATAGGTGATATTATTTATTAGCATTATTTGAGTGACTCCTCCCACAACCCCTCCTACAAGTATTAAATAATAATGATGGCTATTAGGTAGGCAGGCTTTAAGTTTATCTTGTGAACAGAGTTGTTCTAAATTAGAAAAACTTATGTTTTCTTGAAAAAAAACATTTTATTTTGTCTACAGTGCTCCTTAAGATGATTACAGGACTCATACAGTGTTAAGGCCATTATAGCATGTAGTTAGACAAATCAGAGAATACAGACAATGTTTTTACATTCCCCTGATGCCTTGCCTTTAAGGTTTTTATTGCAGGTAAGCATATGATGTTATAGTAAAAAAATAAATAGAGAGTAAAACAATAAAACAAGGCTTTATTTGCACAGGGATGAAGAGGAAATTGGATTACAGGCAAGCTAAGTAAAAAGAACAACTTTGCTAACGTTGCAGAGTACTCCCTTATCCTTTCTGATTTTTGTCAAACTAAACTAAAAAAAGAAAAACACTGAAAGCAAATGTTGTCCATGCCTGTCAGAAAACTTTTAGTTGTGACTCCAGTGAAGCTTAGGCTAACAGAGGGCCCATTCATACATTCCCCAACCCCGTGAGACCATCTGAAGTTACACCTCATACCTCCTGCCTGCACCTTCAGCACCCCTCCCCTATACAAACCAAACTGTCATGTGACCGGTCAGCATCAGGTCGCTGACTGGTTTGGTAGTGTTTGCTCTTCCCCAGTCACAGCAGAAGCTAAACATTGTATAGAGTGAAGCAACCCACAGTCTCACTGCTTCAGTTACCTACAACACTAAGTTACTGATGAGTATTAAAGATGGGCTAATGCTAGCTCTCCAATAAAACACTAAAGTTTTTGGGTCTGTGTAGCAGTGGCTTTGAAATTTGTCTCTTTCAAGATTAGCTTGAAAACAAATTTACTTCTTTTTTTTTTAAATCTGATTAACAGGGTAAACCAGGACCTCCCGGTCTGCCAGGGAAACCAGTAAGTATTCCAACAATTTTAGCAAAGTGTGTTTTATTCAGCCACAACTATAAGCATGCACCTAACTGTAAGTGTTTTTCTTGCACCTTTTGAGTTCCTCAAAATAGGTCAAATTATTGTAAAATGGTGTTAAATAGCTGCAACTTGTTTAAAGACCATGATCCAGAGACAGAATTGTTTCTCCTCCGCTTGAAGTAAAATGCATATCCATGAACTATGGAGCAAAGAAAGGCTGCCATTTAAATTTAAATAGTGAATATGCAACTCACTAACAATTAACTAGATGTGCAAAACAAATAAATTAAGCGTAACATTATTAGGAGTCTTTCCTACTGCTTCATAAGTAATCAGACTAACCTGCCTTCAGTCAAAAGAAAACATCACCTTGGTGCCTTAAATAACCTGAAATCAGAAATGTGTTACTTTACAGTCTTTCTTTTAGGTTTTCCCTTTAACGTGTTTACCTTTATTTTAGTTTGATGATGATTTTGTGACACAAGAAGAAGAAATCAGTTGTTTATCTGGGATGTAAATTACTCACTCTGCTTTTGTAGGGTCCCAAAGGGAAAGCAGGAAAACCAGGGGGACCAGGACAACAAGGACTGCCGGGACTTCCAGGTGTCGATGTAAGTGTCTGATAAGCAAACACAGCCAGTCCTTAAACTAACAGGACACCAGCTCTGTTTTTATCTGTACACAAACATAGAGATGCTATAAAATGACCAGTTACTGTTTAAAACATCATTGCACTTCCTCTCCAGGGTTTGACAGGTCCCGATGGTCCTCTTGGCAGGGATGGACCCCCAGGAGAACCAGTAAGTTTTTCTCAGTTTTATGAGCTTTCTGGGACACTGCGAATACATTTAAAGATGCACTAGCTGGGTTTAAAGACCTCCTATCTACTTCACACTGGCCTTCATAATTTAGCTGAAGTCAGCCACTTGCAAGACGCATGTAGGAACGAATGCATGCAAACTCTGCATGTTGATTCTGTTGCATGAAGATGCTTAAGAGGCCTAACAGGGACAAGGTCTGTGCTTTCTCTGTCAGCCTGGATTTGTCAAGCTGGCTCAGCCTCCTAGTGGGAATATTTTTAATGAGGGATCAGAATCGGATTTATTTCTACTGCTTCCATAATCCGGCTAGGAATGCACACAGTTTCCCACCAATCTGTGAAACCATGGGAGATAATGAACTCTTGCTCCAATGCCGAGGGTAAACTGGTATTATCCTATCAGAGGCACAAGAGAAGACAGAATTACAGCACCTATGACATCAACTGCTGCTGCATCTTAAAATGAAACAGGAAGGCTTTTCTTTACCACTGTGAATATATGAATATAACATATGATATGATAAAGACCGTGTGGCCACTATAAAATGGCTTCAAAGTGACCAACTAGACAGATAATGCTCTCACTCTCCAAGCCCCTTAGCAATTCCACTAATTAGCCAACTTAATGAGGAAGCTTGTGTCAACCCATGTCACTGATTACTCAGACGACTACACTGTTACTGCTGGCTCATAGTACTGAAGAGTCATGCAAAGACAAACAGGATTAAAGTGCTAAAGTCTTTGACAGAGTCAAAGTACAACTAACTGAATCAGACAAAGTAAAATCTGTGTGAGTGTATACACAGCAACATCACAACCATTTGTTTATGATTTGTGTGACAGTATGTCCTATTACACGCTGAGGAATGGAGCGAATTAGTGTAACATTGCTGTGTTACATCTGTTTGTTTGGAGTCATTTTGCCAATCGTCCTCTGAGGCACCACAAATACAGCTGGGAGGAAGTAAACAAAGGAGAACTAAAAGAAAAGAAGACGGGGCACCTCAGCAGACCACAGTTTGATCATTTAGTCCAATAACTTGAAAAATAATTATTGAAAAAGCATCTTATCACTGTGTCCTCCACAGCTAGCCTAAATCTTGGCTAGAAAACCAAACTTAGGCCCAGCCAATGAGATTATCTGTTTTTATCTTGCTATTGCTCTTTCTTTCTTTCTTTTGTTTGTTTGTTTGTTTGTTTGTTTGTTTGTTTGTTTAGTTGGGAGGGCATCATTGTATAAATATTACACATGAGTTCAAATAATATTTTATTTGTAATGTGCAATACTAAATATTTGACGATATGCTTTTGTTCTGAGACCTCCCCGTCCTCCCATGCACGTGTGAAAAAGTGTCATAACGACACACGAGATGCTCACAAAAAAGCAGTCTTTACAGCTCAGCCCAAAAAAGCCCTTTAGCTCACATATTTCACACGATTCACACGTTTTTTTTGCCGACATCTTCCAGTACTGATGATGGGAGAGTCCATCTGCTAAAGTCTTCTGCAGTGCATCCCACAGATTGTCTCTGGGGTTGAGATCTGGAATCTGTGGTGGACAATCCACGAGTGAAAATGATGTCTAATGCCTCGTGAACCACACTTTCACAGTTTGAGCCAGAAGAATCCTGGCACTGGCATCTTGGAACATGCCTCTGCCATCAGGGAACAAAAAATCCATTGATGGAAAAACCAGGTCGTTCCACATATTCAGGTAGTTAGCTGATCTCATTTTTTCAGGTACATAACGTTGCTCAGTGTACGCCTCCAATTCAGTGCAAGAATCTCATATTTTTTCTATGTTCATGTTCATGGACATTCATTCTAATATTTTGTCATGTGAGCACAAATTTTTGAGTGACATATTTAGAGATAATAAGATAAGATAAGATAACCTTTATTAGTCCCACATGTGGGAAATTTGTTTTGTCACAGCAGGAAGTGGACAGTGCAAAAGTTATGAAGCAAAAATTAGAATACAATAAGAATAAATACAGTCCACAACTGTACAGAATAGAATAAAATAAAATACTATATACAGTAGAATAAAATAAAATATACAATAGAATAAAAATAGAATACAAATGCTGTATACAACTGAGTAAAAATACAACGATGCCAGAAAAGAGTATTGCATTGTTGTAATTGTTTGTATTGTATTGTAATTGTTGTGTCAGAGGCACATATTTTGTCCAGAGAAAGCAGGAAGGAACCATCATTGCAAACAAGAAATCAAACCTTTAAAAGAGATCACAGCCATTGAATTTGAACCCAGACAATAACCTTTTTCTAAATCCAAGGTAGTAATTCTTAATGCCTAACTTAAACCAAGTTGAATTTAGGCCCCTTGCATGAGCAGTGAAATGATTTGCTCCATCCCCAACCCATCCAAGTCCTCCAACCTTTATTTTTCATTTATATGCCATAAATAGTAGCAGATCACAGATCTGATACAGCATGACAGCAGGTGTTTGGTTGGGCACGGGTTGCAAAGTGGCTTGCAAATGCACAAAAACGGCAGACAGACCAAGACAAATTCAGCACTGCATGATATTAACCAACTGGATGCATAAAGTGGCATCAGATGAGTGTTCAGCTGATGTAGCTCTGTTGTTAAGATCAGGTGATCTACCAGAACTGTGGGCTGGCTCTTCCTGACCTAACACTAGGCTGAAATGTATTGCCAAAACTATGGAAGCTTGCGTCGAGATAGACGTTGTACTGTTTGAAACTATTTTTTTCATTTAGAATAAGTTGATGTTTATCACCAGTACTGTTCATCCTGCTGGAATAGCAGACTTTATTAACACATAAAACACAAACTCTTGCAGACAGGCTACTTTAAAGCTAAAGTGTATATATATAAAAAGGAAAAAAATCAGAATTTCTGTTATGTCTATATGTGAGCATTTATTGTAGCGTCTCTACTTTACAATATAAAGTGCCTTGGGGTGAGTGTTTTTATGAGTTGGCGCTATATAAATAAACTGAACTGAATTGAATAGAATGGGCCTTAAAAGTTTCTGCTAGGTGTGATTATGCCTGAGAGGCTGATTGTGATTTTGTGTATCTACAGGGTGAAGCAGGTCCTCCTGGGCCACCTGGACCTCCTGTAAGTAACCCCACATGTGTAAAACCTAACAAGCCTTTATTTTCCTCTTCTCTTATAAGTAAGCGCATGACTGAAGCTACTGTTACACAGAATATTTCCCTAAAATACTTTTACCCACAGTAATTATTAAACCTACAGCAGTTACTTTTTTCTGACTTTATTATTTCATGCTGAGAGAATACCTTTCTGTACTTGTGCTCCTGTTAAGTCAGGTTTATGATCAGCTCTTGCCTGACTCGCGACAAAATGTGACACTCAGTGTCACATTTTGTCTTAGGATTACTCAGATGTCATATACATAAGCGCACACTAGCCTCAAAGCAACAATCCATGAGAAATATTCTCTTGGTGGATATTGTTTCAGTGTGTGAATCTAATCATTTCCCAGGTGTTTGTGACTTAATTTGCCTTCCTGTGTCTTCCGTAGGGCAGAGGGAGACCAGGAGCTTCAGTGAGTACACAGCACTGTCTTTTTATGTTGTTCTGGGGGAGTACACCTGTGGTGTCCTTTTTTTATTTATTCATTTTTGCTTATTTGCATTCTGCGATTAGATGCTCGTTATTCTTTGATGTAGTTCAGACAGTGTGCGGCATATGTACTCTGGTGGCATGCGAACACCCAGTCTCTTTTGTTTCTAGGGACTTCCCGGCACCAACGGGTTGCCAGGCGGACCCGGACCCCAGGGCCCAGTGGTGAGTGTCTCTAATTAAGATCTCCTGTCATCATTTAGGGATTTCTTCATTCAAATAAGAATGAGGTAGTCTGTTTCATTTCTGTAACTACAGGAAACTCTTATGTTCCACTTGATTTTTAATGTGAAAAGATAATCGCAGAAAATGTATACACGAGCCTCTGCAGCAGAAACAATAAGCTACAGTAAAGCTAACAGATCCTGTGATCTCAGCTTCAAATCAACCACGACAACATTGCCCTAAATTTCTGTATACTGTAGCAGGAGGATAAGAATAACCACTGACCGAGAAGGACATATCGTCAGTGTTTCTACTGGGTCACACTTTATTTAGGCTGAACTCAGCTCATTTGTAAAAGCTCAGTAGGTTTCCAAAACCCCGCAGGCCTGTTAGACGTCAGTGCAATGTTCAGGCTACTCTCAGAATTACTATAGCAACGGGTCATCGGTTGTTCACTGAATAATCATAAATAGTGTTTGATATGGGTTTTCTACAAAAAAAGTCTAGCAAGACCTTTAAATGAAATTATTCTGATTGCTCTAGAGGTTTCAAGTTTACTTCACTCTGTACAGTTAAGCTCAAACAACAGTGTGAAATGAAAACAAGAAAATCACTTTTTTTTGAGTATAGTACAAAGAAAATTCCTGATTTTAATCTAGTTCCATCACAACCTTCCAAAGTCTTTTATCCTGAGATGCTGAAGGTGCTTCTGCTTCCCCTGATGTTCCTCTGTGTGTTTCTCAGGGTCCTGAGGGTCTTCCAGGACTACCTGGACCTACTGGCCCAGATGGACTCCCAGTAAGTGCAGTTATCATTGTATATCTGGTGTTGGTACAGTAGCCACATTGTCATATTTTCCCAGTCACCCAGTGGATATCAGGAAAAGCACTAAAAAACAAAGAATGCAGCAAAGTCACGTTTAAAGTAAATGTCGCCGTATTTCTCACTTGTGTGTGTTGTCATTATTCAATCTTTCAGGGTCTTCCCGGTACACTTCATGATCTCAATGGAGACCTTCTGGTAAGTGTTTCTTGTGAAAACGGTGTGATTGCAGAAAAATGAAGATGTGCTCTCTACATGCACTGGCTGTAGAGGTCTCAGTTTTTTGTCTCTGTACTCTGCAGTGTCCTGCAATCTGCCCCCCTGGCCCGCCTGGTCCTCCGGGAATGCCGGGATTCAAGGTAAACAGAGTTTTGGGGGTTTTTGTTTTGTGTTGTTTTTTAAGCACAATGCTAGACCAAAGGTGGCCGACAGGAAAGAGTCATACTATAAAAAGCAATTTAAGTAGCACTAACAAAAGTGTTTCAGAAATGTAAGATGACCTTCTCAGAATGCATCTGCTGCTACAGCCTATATCTACTAACCTACCAACAGCAATGTAGCATGGCATTGCTCATGAAAAAAACAATGTATGGAGTTAAAATGCACAAAACTAAATGTTTGGCATTCCATTAAAATTAAATTTAAAATGAGCTGAATTGTGGGAGCATTGCTTAAATGATCCGTAGTCCATCACAACTGCACAGAGGAAGCTGTGTGGTGAAAAGAAGAAGCAGAGGTGTTATTGTCATACAGTTTATTAGATCTAGATCACAGTAAACCCAAAATGTTGCTGAAATCTCCCAGTGTGTAAATATAAGCACTCGGCTTATGACGGCATTCACTTCTGTGTGTGTTTGTGTTCATTTAGGGTCACACTGGGCATAAAGGAGACAAGGGAGAACCTGGAAAAGATGGAGAGAAAGTGAGTTAGATATATGGCTTGAAGATTTTTTCCTGTTTCTGTTATTATTATTATTTTATATTACGGCGGAAATGAGCTTCCTCCGAAGGGTGGCTGGCCTCTCCCTTAGAGATGGGGTGAGAAGTTTGGCCATCCGGGAGGGGCTCAGAGTAGAGCCGCTGCTGCTGCACATCGAAAGGAGCCATCTGACAAGGATGCCTCCTGGGTGAGGTGTTCCGGGCATGTCCCACCGGGAGGAGGCCCCGGGGCAGACCCAGGACACGCTGGAGAGATTATATCTCTCGGCTGGCCTGGGAACGCCTTGGTGTTCCCCCGGATAAGCTGGAGGAGGTGGCTGGGGAGAGGGAGGTCTGGGCCTCTCTGCTTAGGCTGCTGCCCCCGCGACCCGGCCTTGGATAAAGCGGATGAAGATGGATGGCTGAAAAGAGAATCAATATCTTTCTGTGATTTAATGTTTACATTTTGCCCTGTTTTGTCTCTAGGGTGATGCTGGACCACCGGGTCCACCAGGTCTTCCTGGCACTGTGGGTCTGCAGGTGAGATTTGCCCACATAAGTTTTGCTGATTTAATGCACTACGACAAGGATTTTCTGAAGAATTATTTGATGATAATAGGTTGTTGTTGTTGTCTTTTGTTGTGCTTTCAAAATGTTCAAATGCTGTGTTTCAGGGTCCACGTGGTCTAAGAGGTTTACAAGGCCCAATGGGACCTGTAGGCGACAGAGTAAGTAGCTTTTACCTGTTTTCACTCAGTAGATGTAGATTTGTGTCAGGGTGTTTCTTTTGACCTCGTTCTCTGTTTGTCCCCAGGGCTTCCCTGGTTTCAGAGGCAAGCCTGGCATCCCTGGCATTATTGGAAAGACAGTGAGTCTCCCAATGTTTATATCACAAAAATAGAAAGAGTTTATTAGTGCTGGTTAGTAGTTCACAGCTTAAATAAATGGCAGATCCCATCAATGAATAGCTGTGTGTGTGTTTAATCTGATGTTTCCAGGGTGGTGGCGGAGAAAAAGGACCACAGGGATTCAAAGGACCCAAAGGAGAAATAGTATGTAAAAGAATTTTGATCTGTGATTTGAGCGTATACATAAGATGTAAATATCAAGTCTCAATGTGTCTTTTAACAGGGTAAAATTGGTCCCAAAGGAGCTTCTGGTGGACCAGGGCCCAAAGGAGAGCCTGTAAGTGCAAATATACAGAATTTAAGATTCTATATTTATATCACCTGTCAGAACAATGCGAGTCATATCTGATGGATTCAACAGGGTATTCCTGGCAGAGATGGCAAAGACGGAACCCCAGGGTTGGATGGTGAGAAGGTAAGATGCTTTTTTTTTTTTTAAATCTTTTGTTTTAACTGCTTAATTAAAGAGATTTTACACCAACTATGACGTCTGTCTGCTGACAGGGCGATCCTGGACGCCACGGGGTAGTTGGAGAGAAAGGACCAAATGGCCTTCCTGTAAGTGTTATTAATAATCACCACTTTCATCACTGCCATGAGAGTCGCCTTCACTTTCTGTGCTTTATGATGTACATTCATGTCATTTTTGGGGGGTTCTAGGGTCTGCCAGGAAAGGCTGGTACAACAGGATCTAAAGGAGAAGCTGTGAGTATCACCACAAAATCTATTCTAACTTTAAAACTATGATTAGAAACATGGAGGAAAACTGTTATGTTCTCGTTCCTTTACACCAGGGTGATCCAGGAAAGCCCGGGGAGATGGGACCCTCTGGAGAGCCAGGGATTCCTGTATGTATCTGATGGTGCTTTTAGGGAGTTACAGTCTAATAAATGTGTCACTTGACCCAGCAGGTGAGCTCTCTAAACTTTTCTGACTTGTCTGCAATTTCTTTCACTTCTCTTCAGGGTGAGATTGGCATCCCAGGAGAGAGGGGGATAGCAGGTCCAAGAGGAGTGGCGGTAAGTTAATGATCACGCTGTATATTAAGTGAAATCGTGCACTATCTGTTGGTGCATTGCTGAAATTCTAGCATTGCTATTTTAAAAAAAATCAGAAAAAGCCTCAATATAAGCTCTGCCACATTATTAAAATTCCTGCTGCACATCTTTTGATTATAACCCATTTATAGAATTTAGGCTTAGGAGTTTCCAATACTTTAAAGTTTGCTTCTTTAATGACCAGTAGGCAGTTTTTAAAGCACAATGGCTGAAAAAGAGATGGGATTAACAGAGCCCAAAGTAAAAGGCTAAAACGAGGAGCAGTCTACAACATGGTACTAAATTGGAATTAAATGAACCACTGGCCTTCCATGTGAATGATAATCTCGAAGAGTGCTAGGAGTATTTTTCTCTGATTCAGTGACTTACTAAGGTGGAGTAATGGAGCGATACCTACAGGGAGAGCAGGTATTCATGAGGGAAGAATTTATAAACAGAGAGATCTTTGTTTTTCACATCAGAGCCTGCGGCAAGGAAAGAAAGATAAAACTCGCAACGGAATTAACACCCCTACTATCACACAACGCACTGCATAATAAATCCTGCCTCACATAACGACCTCCTGCATTTGTTTAGTTTCTCTTACCCGAATCAAAAGAAGGAAGCATCATTAATTTCCAGTGCTTTTTTTTTTTTTTTTAGTGCTTCATGTTTTCTAGAAAAATGACATGACTATGTCTCTTTCTGACAGGGAGGTATTGGACCAGTGGGCAACCCTGGGCCTCGGGGAGTGAAAGGCTTCCAGGTAGTTGCTTTAAATGATTTATCATTATCATTTTTTCTTATTACTATTTCTTAATTTAATGACTTTGTGTCATGTGCTGCAGGGAGTCAAAGGAGACTTGGGAGATCCGGGTCTTCCAGGACCAACGGGAATTCGTGGAGAATTTGGTGACAGGGTGGGTTTTTAATTATTCAGGAGAATGATGTCCCTGTAACATCTTAAAATGTCTATTTTGTCACCCCAGTAGTCCAAAATGCAAATGTGACCAGTTTACAGCTGAAGTAGAATATGAAAGCAAGAAATGTAAAGTGATGTAGTGACTGACTTATTTGTTGCTAAAAAAAACCCCAACCCCAGTATAAAACAAACATGGACATGTGTAGGTGTGTCCCCGCGTATCTCCACACAATCACAGTGGAGACGTGTGACTGTCCAGCTGTGTTCACGTTAGGACACTGTATCCCACTGTATTACCATCCTGTCTCAGTCTTAGTGGTATAAACTCAAACTGCAGCCCAGCACAGACACAAAGTGGCCTCCTGTTCAGAACATGAGGACAGAACAAAGCCAGCCTTTATACCAGTCCTGGTTCCCCTCAACCAGCCCACCGTGCTTCCTTTCATCCCCCACCCCCATCCTTTTCCCAGCCAGCCGGCCTTCAATAAATATCTCTGCATGCCTCTTATTTATTCTCTCATTCTCTTTTTTTCAATCCTATAGGGCCCAGTCGGGGCTTCTGGACCTAAAGGAGACATGGTAAGTCACCAACATCTCCACTGATGTCCTGTGATAGTTTTCATCCAGCTTTTTGAAAAGTAAACTAAAGAAATGATTATTTTATATGTATAGTCCTGCAAATACATCGATTTTTCATAAGCTTATAAGATGAAAGACTTTCTTCAGTTATGAGTTATGTCACATGCAGTTCAGATCTCACGTTGTCATTTCAGGGTGTTGCAGGAAGTGATGGGTTACCAGGAGAGAACGGAGATCCTGTAAGTGTTTTCGTCATTGTCTGAATACTAACACTGTGCGGTGTTCGTAACCTACAGAGCAGTTACTGTGTTTGCAGTAGTTAGTTGTACTCTTGGTACAGAGGCTAAGACCATTCCACCTACTCAAGTACATGCACGTGTCTTTAACGCACTTCATTGTTTTGTACAAGTGTATTTGGCTCCACGGGTCCTTTCACACGGGTTTTATGGTGCTGGACAAAAAGTTTTAGGGAGGTATCTTTTAGTTTTTGCTGCCAATGGATCAGAAAACACTGAAAATATGGATATTTGTACATAATTATAAACAATTTTTTAAATCTACTTATTCTGATAGTGTATTTCTCTGTATTTTAGCATGACTTTGGGCTCTTATCTATTGTCTTTATCCCCTCTTTTTTTTATTCAAAGCTGCATGAAAGATGCTGTACCAAACAATGTTTGACTGTTTGAATGCTGCATACTGTCCTGTAATATAACGTTTTCAGAATTATCTAAAACAATGTCCTTATTTCCAGGGTCCCTTTGGGCCAGTGGGACAAAAAGGGCAGGTGAGCTATATTTCCTGTTACATTTTACAATGTTTTGTGCTTTTACATCTTAGAAATCAGCTTTTTATCACCAAACTATTAACATCTATTAACACCAAACATAGATCAGATGTTGTGTGTGGGTGTAATTAGCAGCAAGTTTGTTCCAAACTCCCTCTGTTTCTGCTCCCTCACTAAACATTTAAAACTGGCACCTAGCTCTGAGCTTTTGCCTACTTATCAGAGTCACTGCACATGATTCAGCCTCACATTCCATGTTTAATAGGATTAATTAGAGATAGGTATTGCTGCTTTAGCTTTATTGGCCTGTTTGCTGCTATGGCCACGAGGGAAAGGCGAGTAACATTAAGCTGCAGCACAATTTATGTAATTAGAGACAGCACTGATGAGCCACCCTCTCTTAGTCTCATTTACTGTTTGCTGTGCTAGTTGGAGTAATTATCAAGCAACAAGATGCCACCCTCGCGTTGTTTCAACAGACCCAGTTTGCTCCTCATTTGGTGTTTAGTCAGCGATCAAATGTTATGGATGTTTTCAGCTTCAGTTTGGAATAAATCAATTTGTTTTTGCAAACATAATGAGCTATTTAACAGATAATTGTTGTTGATTGTAGCCGGGGAAGCGAGGTGAACTGGGGCCTAAAGGCGTGACGGGTCCACAAGGAGAGGTTGGGGGAAGAGGGCTTCCAGGAAAAGAAGGCCCAATGGGCTTCCAAGGGGAACAGGGTGTGCCTGGACTTCCAGGAAAGAGAGGTGTACCTGTAAGTGTGCTGTTCTTTTTTTTCTTTTCTTTTTTGACTGCACAAAACTACCTGGTTAGAACATATAGATGTAAATGGTTTCATATAAACTGCCTCAAATCTGGTGTTTCAGGGTAAACTGGCAAGTGAGCAACACATCAGAGAGCTATGTGGCCCAATGATTGATGGTGAGAGATCCTAATTCAATCTTCACGTGTAACTCATTCTATTGTCAAATATATATATATATATGTATATATTTTTTTAAATGTGGGGTTTTTACCATTTGTTGCTTCTCCAACATGTAGATCAGGTTGCACAACTGGCTGCCAACCTGCGAAGACCCCTGGCACCTGGAATGGTGGGCCGCCCCGGCCCTCCAGGGCCGCCAGGAAAGCCAGGAGTTGCAGGCTCTATTGGGCATCCAGGTGCCCGAGGTCCACCAGGGTACCGAGGCCTGCCAGGAGAACTTGGAGATCCAGGTCCCAGAGGTATGAAAAATGAAACATGTCACAGGAGCACAAAAATAATTTCACTGCTGTTTAGCCTTACGGTTGCATAATCAGATGGTTAACATCAATGATAGAAGACATACTCAGATCCTTCACTCAAATAGCAATAGTACACAAGTACCAGTAAACACGTTGTATTAAAAGACATATTAGCAACATAACAACTTAACTAATTAAAAAATAAAAATATTCATTTTAGATGGAAAGAGATTTAATCATTCATTACTTCAGTGTAGAAACAATACATGAGATATTTAAGGCTGCTGATTACCAGCAAAAGATTGTGAGATGATTATTGGGCTAAAAAACTTTCTTGCTACCCAAATATGAATTCTGTTTTCTTACTTTTGTTTGCTTTTCCTTACTAAAATATTGGATCATTTGATCTAGCTAAGCCTCGAGCAGTTACTTCCATAAAACCATCCCGAGTTTTTGGGGTTAAGAGAGAGCCATATTTGGTGGAAAAGCTAATTAGTCATGACAAAAAGCCCCACTGGGATTTTTATAAGAGGCAAGACACAAAGGTTTGAATTCACTGAAAAGTTTAAACTGGTATAAAAAGGAAACATGTAAACTGTACTTTAGCACAACACCTATGTAAATGCACTTTGTTTCCACCACCGATTGAAATTTTCTGTTTTCACAACAGGTGATGTTGGTGAGGCAGGTGATAAGGGATTCATTGGTAAAGCCATTGATGGGCCTCCCGGAGACCAAGGATACCAAGGTATGTGCTCTCATACGGAGAACTTCCATCTGAACCAGTCATTTTCTTTTTTATACCTACATTTGAACTACTGTTCTAAACATCCACTCATCTCAGACTTTGACTTGTCAAACAGACATAAGTGTATAAGTCTTCTGTCACTCCTGCAACTTCTAACTACAGCACATTCCCACAGGTCTTCCAGGGGTACCTGGAATTGTTAAAGATGGGCGCGATGGTTCTCCAGGAGATCCAGGTGAGCCCGGAGAGCCAGGCAGAGTAGGCAGGACTGGGCACCAAGGACCTCCTGGAATCTGTGACACATCAGCTTGTCAGGGAACATCACCTGCTGGGAAATCCTCTAACCCCAAAAACAATTAAGCATAAGTTCCTGCACCCTGACACCATCCACTCCGAGGTGAGAGTTATAAGTGAGGATAAAAGGAATGAAAGAAGAGTGGCCACAAAAAAAAGTCCTCTTTATTTAAATACACGCATCACAAGTTGGGAAGAGTAACATCAGACGGTGTGATATTTCTGACAAAATAGAGGAACATCCAGCAAGTGACATGAACATCAGCGCAACTGAGAGACAAAAAAACAAACAAACAACTTTATGATATGAAATGGAGAGAGGTAAGGAGAAGTGCAAGAGAACAACTGCACTGATCCAAGTACTATCACATGACAAGACTTGACTTACAAACACCTGGAAAGTGAATGATGAGTCCTTTGTGTATAAAAACTTTGTACATGTTGCTTCAACGCCCCAAACACTTTGATTAACATCCTTCTGCAGATAACACTAAAAAATGGTGACTGTCTCTGATGTGAATGTGCATTTATCATGGCCCATTATGTAAATCACAGATGTTACCTCAACATGGAAATAAGTGCAAGAAGCATAAAAGCCTCTGTGGAGGAGCTGTGTATGTACTGTAAAAGGAATAAAAAACAAAAATCCAGGTTCCCAGACATTGTGTAGATTAATGCAAGAAAAAAAAGGTTTGATAGTCTTTTTTTTACAGCTTGTTTTCTGTTATTGTTTTTTTTATGACATGTGAATTTGATTCTTCAGACTTCAGAATCAAAAGCAAAATAAACTCATGAAAGCATAAATCACACATTGTAAAATACAGTTTAAGAATATTAGGAACAAAGTTTTTTTTTTTCCAATCTGCAATGACCACATCCACTATGTACTACCGGTGCTGTAACTATTAAATATACATGACTTTAAATACTATTTATTATTTGTGGGTGACTGTTGTATGTACAGTAAGATGCTACAGCGACATGTTGTAAGAAAGAACAAATAAAGCCACTTTTCAGTAAAACATTACTCTTCTCTACATATCAAATGAACAGTCTGCTTTTCAGAATACTCTGCTGTAAACACTGAAATCAAAAAAGTCCATTAACTAACTAGGAAGTAACACTTACTTTGATACCAAACTGCTTAAATATCCAAATACAGAACAGATGTTGGCAGGCACTCAGTAGAAAACATTCTAAATGAATAAAAACGAACAGAAAACAAGACATTAAAGTGCAATTTTGAATACAGGGTATAAATACTGCACATATTATCAAAATAAAATAGTTGAAGGGACGGCATCTGCCAACTAGAGCGCCGCCTGTGCTTTTCGAAGAGAAACAGCGCCATCTGTGTGTGGAAAGCCCTTCCTTTCCAAAAGGTTGATGTGTTAAACTCGGCCCTCACACTACCTGAACTAATCCTTCCAGTTTCTAGATCGTTGCAGTGTGATCGAAAGGATATATTTTACCATGTCAACAATACTTCATCTTAACCCCACACCCACACCTCATTGGGCAAGCCTGAGCTACTCTGACAGTTGAATTTAGTTTAGTGGCTGACATATAGAAGAAAACAATGAGGAGAGGTCACTGCTCTGCTGCCAGGGAAATGCTGCTCAGTGTCTCATCCATCCTGTGGTGCACTGGGTCCTGACCTGAGCTGGACTTACCAAAGCGTTCTCTCTCATGAGCGAAGACTTTCTGGAACTCCTGCAGACAGAAGAATTGGAGGTTGAAGTGGTTCATGACACATAGTACCAGAGATGTTTTATCTTCCTGCAACTCTGTAGCTGTCTAGATCGCCCTTCTGGTGGCATAGTGAATGTTGTAAGTATGGCGTGATTTTATTTGCTGCGTTGTACATTTTTTTCCAGCATAATCTAACTGCAGCAGATGATTTCTCTCAGTTAAAACAATAAAGTTTATTTGATTTTAAACTGTAAAAATGTGAAGACTTTAGTTTGAACTCTAAATAACAAAAGTCACAAAGTTTCCTTCACTAATTAGACAGGCAGCAAGGGGAAATGTAATTAACTCTTATCTTCCAGCCACAGCTTTCTAGTCTCAGATAATTCAGTTAGAGGACACTTTTCATCAATCACTTTTCTACACATGCCCACCTCTTTAAAAGTGTCTCCATACGTTTTAGTAATGTATCTCAGGAAAGCTGTGGTCCACTGCAGGGTGGTGACTTTGTCCGTCTCCGAGTCACAGAACGGCACCAACGTGTTCAGTTCATCACAGCACAAACGAATCCTCTTCCTGTACGACAGCGCAGACAATGCAGATGATTTTGAGCGATGCAGTCCTGTATATTTAATAATCAGTCATCAGTCACTAAGAATTCTTTGGTAACTCTTCAGCAGTTTCAAATCATGAACCATTTAACTTCTGAGTGTATCGGTTTTAAACTGATTTAGCATTTGCATAGGAATCAGGTTTCTTTTCAGTCCTCAGTGACACTCTTATTTTAAATCAAAATAAATCAAGTTTCCACATAAAGCAGCTAAAACTAATGATCACAACCCAAAAGATGTTCAGTTCTGATGCGTTGCTGTTGCACTACTTATCTGAATATATTCAAACGAGGACTGAGTTCACTTAAATCATGCCATCACCACACTGTGAGCGCGAGGCTCTGAGAAGAAACTATGAATGCACTTTTGGTAAAAGGACTGGTTCTTATTTAGCACTTTTCTACTCTACTCAAGCACTCAAAGCGCTTTATACAACATTCGCCCATTCACGCAAGCACTTTCTATTACTGAAGGATGCATCAGAGTACAATATGGGGTTCGGTATCTTGCCCGGTGATACTTTGGCATGCAGACTGCACAAGCCATGGATTGAACCACCGACCTTCCAATTAATAGATGACCTGCTAAAACAGAGACAGACAACCACACATATTCAACTACAGCCACCGCTAACCAGTGCACCACTGTTCCACCTGAAATAGAGGACAAAATGTTTAAAATTTGTAAATTGAAATAGTTTTCTTTTTGTGCCTAAATGCAACGCCTTTTAAATCTCTGACCTTGAAAGCAAGCACACTTAACACACTTTAAGCATCCCAGGATATTCCTGAAATGCAAATGTTTATCTTGTTGCACACTATGGATGCAGGGACGCTTCCATGTGTAACCTTCGGCTGCTCACCTGCGCTCCCTCTCCTTACTGTTGTGTCTCTCCCGGCGCTGGCTAAGCAACATACTAGATCTAGCAATTTTCCTCCTGCTGCTCTGTGGCTCTCCAGCAGAGTCTGGGGCGGCTTTAGCAGCTTTGGGTATCACCGCAGCAGGTATCACTGCATCCTCTGTGAAAAAAACCCAAGCATGTGAGACCAAGTTAGACACAGCCTTTCAGTCCATAATTGTAGCCAACAACACAGTTATGGCTTATGAATAAATATTAGAATACTAATTATTACTTTCTAGATTAACCAAAGGCAGCTCTTCTGCTGGGTGAAAATTTAAAACGCTCTTGGGGATCATAACCTGAAATTAAATCAGAAAAGCCAAGGATTAAACAGTGGGCTCTGCTTTACCATTAAGATATAATAAAAGCACATTGATTTGTTTTTTTTCCCCCCAGCATACCTGTCCACACGTGTTGGTGACTGGGCCATAAACACCCTCTATATATGAACTAGACACCCCAAAAGAATTTGCTCTGTCCATTTTCACCCACTTCTGCTTTGGAGGATGCGTGACTGTCTCTTGAACCTCTGCAGACTGCTGAAGTATTGTCAAAAAACTGAAACATGACATATCACACAAAATGAGTACATGTATGCTATACTTTAATAAAATGATAGTCACATATAGTATATACATATCTCTGAAACTTACTTGCTGAGAACTGCAGACTGTATATCTTGTTGTCTTGTGGTTTCAGCACACATGGCGCTAAATCTTTTCTCTAAGCAAACTCTAGCAGCTGGTCTGGTGCGATTCTGTACAGACTTCTTGTCACTGGTAAAAGGTTCAGCTGGGCTTTCTTCAGCTCTAATTCTGGCCAGCACAAAACCTGGCACCTCTCCATAAGACACTGGTGTCTTTTCTCCAGGCATTACTATACAGTGGTCTTCATTTGAAGTTGATAGATCAATAGCCTGAGCGCTTCTGAAGGGAGAAATCACTGTGGATGTGGCCTGTTCTTTGACCATCACTGTAGAGAGGTGACATCTGACATCTGGAAACTCTGACTGTGCCTCCACATGGGCTTGGAGAAGATGCTGAAGGTAAGAACAGTCAACCTCTGTCATCTCCATCAGCCCAAGCTCACTGCCCAATACCTCCCCATGTTCATGGGTAAAGCATCCACCTTGACTCACAATCATTCCAGCAGAGTCACTTATCTGTTCTCTCGATGAAGGTAACACATTGATGTTTTTACAGGTTGAAGAAAAGGACATATTTCCCTACAGATCAGGAAAAATATTAGATATAATACAGACCACTTACTCTAAATACTTTGTTACTTAAAGTTACTCTTAATGTTAGCTAAAGAAATTGTATAATTATAATTTAGGTCGTGAAGGTACGTTGTCGTGAATTTTAGCTTAGCTACAATTAGCAAAGGAGACGTTGGCATAACCTGGGCAAAATCAACAGGCTGTACCGCCATTTTAAAACTTGTAATACTATTAGAAACTCCAGGGCATTTAAAACAATCAGTCTTAAGTTATACAAATGCATAAAAGGTTATTACTGAATTAATAAAGTCTTTGTACCGCTTTCTGTTCGGGGATTAGCACGTATTAATGCTTGGCCTCAGGCTGTAACGACGACCGTGTCCAGTTACCGGCGCTAACCTTCTCCCCGTCACAGATAAACCTCCGATTATCTCAGTATACAATCATTTCTTTAAGCTCGTAAGCGGAACTTTAAACACAAAAACAAGCGGAAAATATACGAGGGGTCCTAAAGAAAACCGACAGCTGTCATCATAAATTACTTATGTCAAATTAGAAAATGTTATTTTTTTTTATTGATCAGTTAGGGGGCGGAATAGTCCTACTTTTTCCACGCTTTTCTGTCATTCAGTATCTTTTTGGCGATCAAAAGTAGTTAAATATGTTACATTTTTATACAAAAAGCAGAATATGTAAATACATTGATTGCAGCTTCTTGAAACTTCATGGTTAGACAACTACATTTATACATGCGCATAGATAGATAGATAGATAGATTTCCAGATTTTCTGTTTTGATTATTTGATTCATAAAAACTGAAAGAGTGTCATTTTTTAAATGAATAAAAGCATTTGCACCTAAAAAAAAATAGCACAATAAAAAAATATCTTAAAGTCTTTAGATATATAAAATAACTATCTAGTTTGAACCTCGTGGGGTCCAAAACAGACTGTGTCTCATGTGTTAAACCTGTTATGGTCTGGTGAACTTTCCAGATTTACCTCATCTCCTGCTCTGAGCAACCTGGGATAGGTTTCCCCCACACAAATGACCCTACCTTCCATAAGTCGTTGAGAAAATGAATTAAATATATATTACAAAGAAAAAGAAGTTTAAGCACCACCCCTAACAGCACAACTGGCCAACATAGTACTTTTCTACATAACAAAAACTGTTCCACAATACTCATTCACATTGCACAAACTGTAATGACTTCCTTATTTATTTTAAATAAAAGATTATTTCCAGTTGCAGTTCAAACTTTATACAGATTATCTCTTAAGACCTGAGAATAACACTACTATGGAAAACAGAGAAATTAATCCTAAGTAAAATGACAGAAAACAACAGAACAGCAGTAACAATGCTTGAGTTAAACTAGACTCCTGCAATACAAGTTTTATACATGTGGAGGGTTACAGAAAATATGTAGACCCACTTTCGCATATTGTGATTTCCACACTACCCAGCAAGAGGCCTCGAAAACCTAAAAACGAATTAAGTATTGCCTTAATTTGCCTGAAGTTTGAATCCATTGTGTGTGTGTGAATCAGCACCCACTTTACAAGACAACCAGTAACAATTAATACCTCAGAGTCATGAGTAATCTTTACAGTGATCAGAAAATCTGAAATGTTTCACCGAATAGTTTTAGCAGTTTGTATTTAAATAAAATAATCCAGCTTTTATGTCTCAGAATAATTTATTGCCATAAAGGTAGTAAAACTGTCACTTTTCTTTGATATGAGATTTGCTTGTTAAATTAACTGGTTTTAAGCTATCAATCTAAATGTGACAAAATAAGACTTCATATAAAGTGTGTTACTTTATTGACTTCTTGCATTCTAAAAGAAATGGAACGGGTCATTTTTAACCAACAGAACTACATAAAAGAAGATGAGAGCTACCATATTGACAGTCTGGCTATTAAAAAAAACAAACACAGAAAAAAAACTGTACATTTTCTGTACAAAACATTTATGACTTTGTCAATCTACAAATACAAATAAAGTTAAATTTACAACTGAAAATTATATTTAGCAGGACTTTTGCTAATAATAAAAAAAAAACAATAATAAAAGCATCTACTTTGAAAACAGAAAAACTACAACACAATAAACTTAAATGGTAATCTCTGAGCACTTTTCTATCAAGTTACAAAGTTGGATTTTTTGCATGTCTTTGCCTGTATGTCATATTAAAATTTAACAAGCACATGGGTAGTCAGTCTCAGTGAGAAAAGAAATACATTCATTGGGCATTATGATAAGGTATTTCTGTCAAGTCTAACAATGCTAAGCAATTTTAGATGTCTGATTCTTCAGCTTTAGGTCCTTAAAGGTCTGCATGTTTTTCCCAGTGACTAATCTGGCTCACCATTGCTTTAATTTCCAACACTGATAATAGAGGTTAATTGTTTGTTTGTTTTTAATTCTGAAACCCATTATTATTTTTTCCCTCAAATTGACCTTATCCTTTGTTTCTTCTTCCCTTATGATTGGACCTTCAGGTGTGCTATTTTCTTTCTTCTTTCTTACAAGCAGGTTTTACCCATTCTTTACATGTTATCAATTTACCTACATCTACTCCTCTCTGTCTGTTGGAAATGTGTTTTAGTTTCATGCCAAAATCCAAGCAATCATATTTTGGGGAAACGTATGAGACCTTCTTTTGGAGTGGGAAGTAAGGCACCTCTGTGTCTTTGAGGTCTTATGGCTTGCTGATTTTGTGGGTTTTCAAAACCAGGGAATGGTTTTCCTCCGCTATTTGGACCTGGGCCACGGGGCCTATTAAACTGTGCCAAATGTGGATCTCCAGGATGTTGGAATCTTGCAATGGGACGAGGACCTCTTCGTTCATTAATGGGTGTATGACCTCTCTGCCTGGGATCTCTCCCCCTTATATTTGGGCCCCTACTAACATAACCTGCCCCCCTTATATCTGACACCTGCATGTCATTATTTGGATCTGGCTCAGACCTAGTGTTGTCACCCCACCTACCAGGTCCATTTCTAAAATCTGAACGCTGAGGTGATGGCCCCCTGCTGTCTGTTTTATTGGGCCCCAAACTTCTCATTTTTGGACCTCTACTTTCCCTTCTGAAATCAAATCCTTGTCTACCTGGTTCAGGATTTTCAGGTTCTACATTATGCCTTTCAGATCTTAGATCACCACTATCTGAAAATCTCCCATCACACCTTGGAGCTTCAATGCTTAGATTTCTGTTTGCAGGTCCTGGGGGTCCTAGATCTCGACCTGCTGGAGGTCTTCTATCAGGGCCTTCCATCTCAAATTGCCTCCTGTTTAGACATGAATTCATCAGGCCTGGACCTCCTCTGAGAGCCCCACGCCCTTCAATGTTTGGCCCTCTCATTTTTCCCCTGACATTTGGCAGCCTCCAGTCAGTTCCCATATCTGGATGATTGTGCATATGTGATCCTGGCCCTGCTTTTCTGTCTTGTCCTCTATTGTCTAGATCTCTTTCTCCTGTAAAGAATTCCCCAGCACCCTCTCTATCAAGCTCTGTCCAATCATTTCCATGACCTCCCCTACTTGGCCCTGGGCATACCATATCTGGATTTTCTTCAACAGGCCCTGCACTTCTGCAGCCAGGAGCATTCCAGTTATGTCTACGACCCCTTACAGGTCCTTGAAATAACATACTGGGTCTATTCTGCATGGGACCTGGTCCACTACTTTCAGGGCCTCTCCATTCACTAAATAGGCCTTGATTAATATCTTCTTGGTCCTGTTCATCTTGACCCTCTTGGATAGGTCCAAATCCTCTACTAGCATATGTTTCCCAGTCATCCACTGAGCATTCTCTGTCTTGTCCTAAGAATTCTATATTGGTCCTTCTTTCATCTAACCTTTGTTCCTCTGTGTCTGGCCCTCTCCTCTCAGGAGCAGAACCCCAGAAGCCGGGCCCTGGTCTTCTAATGTTTTTCCTCATAGGCCTTCGACCTCTAAAGCTCTGGCCCAATCTATCAGGTTCTGGGGCATGGTAATCTGGGTTTTCTTGAATAGGTTCACACGCTACCCAGTCATCCCTTCCCCCATGTCTTGGATCTTCAGTATTTGAACTTTCATGTTTGTAGCCTGGAACTCTTAAATCAGGGCCATCTGATTTTCTCCAACCTGGTCTTGAGCCCTCCATATCTGGATATCTTTTTTCACTGTAGTCTGGACCTACTAGAGCTATTCTGTCAGGCCCAGGATCCACATCAGAACCTGGCCTTTCCACCCGCTGTGCACCAAATTCTGGACCCCTCCTATGAGGCCCTGGAATCTCCATATTTTGATACCCAACTTCTTTTCCACGACCCCTGAAATGTGGTCCACCTCGTCCTCTGTTGTGAGGCCCTAGATCTCCCACACCTGGACCAATTCTTTCAGGCCCAGCAACACCAATATGTGAACCTCTCCTGTCAGGACCCTGTCCACTTGTGTTTATTTCTACAGGTCCTCTCCTTTCAGGTTCTTGGCTATGCATAGGAAAACTTGGTATTTCATTTATTGGCCCACTAAAATCTGGACCTTGTGAAACTCTGCCAGGCCCCATAGCAAGACCTCTACAATCAGACCCTAGCCTGCTGATATCAGGACCTCCAGGTCCTCTTCTCTCGGGCCCAGAACCTTCTATAGGTCCTGGTCCCCTGAACCCAGGACCTCCAGGTCGTCTATTCTCATGTCCAGGACCTTCGATAGACATACTTTCCCTCTCATGCCCTGGTCCTTTAAATTCTGGACACCCAGCCCCTCTCCTATTAGTCCCAGGATCCTCCATGGAATCTCTCCTTTCAATTCCTGGACCTCTACTATCAGACCCTGGACCAGCCATATCCAGACCCATCCTTTCACCCCAGGTTCCCCTGAAATCTGGACCGCCAGGACCCCTGATGTCATGTACTTTTTGCTCCATATGTGGACCTTTTTTCTCAGGTCCTAATCCTCTAAAATGTGGACCCACAGGACCTCTTCTGTCAGGTCCAGCAACCTCCATGGCTACACTTCTTCTTTTAGGTTCTGGTCCCACAAAATCTGAAGCCCCTGGTATTCCTAAGTCAGGTCCTTGATTGTCTATAATGGGGTCTATCCTTTCAAGTCCTTCTTCCATGAGGTGTGAGTCCTCTGGTCCTCCACTATTAAGCTTTGGATACTGCATGTTTGGACCTCTCATTTCAGCCCCTGGTTGTCCGAATTCTGGGCCTCCACTCCCTCCCGTGTAAGGTCCCTGGCTTTCCATGTTTGAACCTCTTCTATCAGACAAATGGACACTCCATTCATCTTGTACCAATGGTGCTTCCCTGACTGAATCTGACCCTCTCCAATGATCTCTTGTGTCTGATCCTGGGCCATTCCAATCTGGAGCACTTATATGTTTATTTTGATTCTCCTTATCCCTTAGTCCTTGACCTCTCCAATCTGAATTCAACATGTTTGAATTAACTGCATCTGCATGACTGCCACCAAGCTTGCCAAAATCTGCATTTGTGCCATGTGGCTGAAGAGTACTTTTACGGGGGCACCTTTCTTCAAAAGCCATACTGCCATCATGTCTTGTCTTTGGAGGTCTTCCTAAGCCCATAAACAATGGACCTGACTCCCTCATCCCACTACTTACATCAGATCTAAA